ATTTGTCTGGAAATTGCAGCCAGGGAGGTAGTTCACTCCTGTTCTCTTTGTCTATATGCAGGCACTTCCAGGAGTCCAGGGCAGTGCAAAATGCTGAATTCTTATCTGGAGGCCACAGCTCAAGTGGCAGCGGCCACATGTGGTGACAGTTTTAGGAGTATCAGGCACAGCAGGTCCAACTTGCTTGTGAGAAGTGTTGTCATTAATGGCCAAAGTAATTGAAGCAATACAGGCCATCTAGCCCCGATCACCTGACCGGGTGAATTGGGCACAATCAGTGGCTAGAAAATTTTTTCTGGCATTTTGCATGTAAGGACTGCTTTTAGACATACTTGGCTTTACCTGATTTCAGCTCTGCCGTGGATCACACTGCAGAATCACAGCTCATCTCCAGCCACCTCTGAGCTTTTACCTCATAACAGCTTTTACAGCTTTTGGCATTTCTAAATAAGAATGTCATGCTCTTTAAAGCTCCTGTTCCTTTAATGATCATGAAGTTGAAACAAAAAATATAAAAAACAACTCAAACAGTAATAAAATCAAAACTAAGTTTTCCATTATGGAGACTTTGTGAGATTTTCATTATTACTGTGCTTTAAATAATTTAAAATTATTCAAAAGCAATCTATATTTCTTATTGACAATCTCATGTTAATTTAATAACCTGTGTGGCTGTAATTTTCATTAATTGACTTACACTGTGACCGCATCTTAATACACTTGACAATTTTTTCTTCCATTAGGCTCTCACAGTCTATTATCAAGCAGGGATGCCAAGTTCACCCCTTCCAATAATACCATGACTCAGCCCACTTAAGACAAAGCCTTCATCTCTGTCCCATTGATGTCAACCTCTCTGTCCCCTCCACTCCTGAGGACAGACCAGCAGCTCTCATTTTCACTGCCTTGGAAGCACTTATCCTCAAACAGAGCAGAGCTCCCTAAGGAAAAGCTGGGGCTGGAAAGTGGTGATTGCATTTGGGGGAGGACACATTTCCGCAACTTACTGCTGGTTGGAGCCCGAACTACCCCAGAAGGTCCCACTAGGAAACAGCCTGGGTGGATGGTGAGAGCCACAGGGGAGTTCAGACATTTGGCATGGATTAGTTCCACAGTAGTCGGCCAGGGACATCAGTTCAGCAGCTCTGAACAAGAGACAAAGTTCACAGGCAAGACTTTTCTGCCCTTGTAGCACTGTCTCACTGATTTGCAAAGAGAAACTGTGTCAGTTGCAGTGGAGACTTGGCTCTGCGTGTAGTTAAAAAATTAATAAACAATAAGCCAGTGCAGAGGATTTAAAGCCAAGATCTCCCTATGCAAGTGTTGATAGGGCTTGTGGAAACAGGCTATTTCAGCAGTCACAGTTCCTCTGCAAGCACTGAACAGGGCTTGGATTATGCCAGCTAAATAACAGTGTAATACGATGTTTTCTTTTGAAGACGCACACTCCCAGTGTCAATATCATAGTCTGTTAGAGCAGCTGTATGTCAGACAGGCTCCTCAGTGCCTCATGACTACATGTTCCCGTACAGCACTAACGCACTGACAGCAGCAGTTGAAATGAACCTATTGTCTTCTTGGATCAATGGTGCTGTTACCTGCAAAAGTGCTTTTTATTAACAGGTATATTTTCTACTTCTCCTAGCGGTCACAGGACTACTATAAACACATGAAAGTTTGGGACAAGCCACCTCCACAGCACTGATTCTGCCGCAGCACATTCCCCAGAGCATCGCCAACACCATGAAGTGTGGAGCCGTTAAGGTGACTGTACTGATGGGTTGTTTCTTCCCAAACCTTCCACAGTCTGGGGGAATTCTCTCCCCCAGCCCTGCTCACTCCCCTCTGTCTTTCCCTTAATCTTCTTTTCACTTTCTTTCTTCCCTGTAATAAGCCTTCATTCTAAGATCTCCTTTTATCTCCCGAGTAAAACATTAAAAGAAAAAGACAACTACAGAAAAATCAGGGCAGTAACCAGAGGACGGTGAACTGTCACACTGGTCACTCCTGGGTTTTGTTCAGTGAAAAAGTTGTCACATTTTCATTGCCCAAAAGGAGGCCCTGATTTCATCTAGCACTCTTATACATTCAAGATTACACAGAAATACATTACTAATCTATTAATTTCAGAGCCAGATTCTATCTTTACCGTAAGTTATAGTTTATTTGTGGAACTGCTCCTCAAACAATACCTTTTGGATCTGAATTCCTTGGGAATGTGGTCAGACCCAGGATGCTGTGTGAGGTCCATTTCTAGCAATCACCGTTACAGCTTCACACACAGTTCAATGCTACTGCAGATCCCAGGTTGATCGGGGCATATTCTTAATGCCTTTGCAGTGGCTGCCTAGACCTTTGCTGATTTGTGCTAAATCTTTCATTTCAGTTTCATGCTGTTATTCTGTTTGTCTGTCATCAGACTTTGCAGGTGACTCCCTCCCTGAGGAAACCGTGATTTCTTTTGCTATTAAATTTAAAACTTTTAACTACAGGGATTATTTCCTGCAATGGTGAGAATTTTTTCAGCCTTCCCACTCAGCACATCTGTGGCTGGTGAGAAAACAAATTACCTGTATAAATATAAATGCTTGCATTTAATTGAAGCTTCCCATGCAAGCCACATTCTTATGATTGCTAGACTCGCTAAGCTTTTTTTAATGGGAACACCTGTGATTTAGAGTGGAGCATTTCAAAGCATGAAGACAATAAGACCCGTTCTTTGTGATTCTTTAGATGTGACAACTTGCTTATTACCTCCCAAATAACAGTAAAAGTGATGTTTATTCTGTTTTCACCAGTCTATTCAGAAAAGCCTTGAAATTCTAAATAACAAGATGTGCTAGCATTTTAAATCTGTACTGATACTTTATTACTTTCAGTTTGATTTCTAGTTTAATTGGTGTATTTTTTTTTTTCATTTGAAACCTCTGTTTTTCCTCAAAGTTTGTTTCCTTTCCCTGTTATCTGTCCTCTCCCTCACAACAGAACGGCTGTAGCCAGTCTGATAGCATTACTTCCCCTGCCCCTAAAAGCCGGGGGCTTACGATGCAAGACAGCTTAGTGATGAATTGCACCATTAAGAACTTGAACTGAACCAGGCTCACAAAGAAGCAGTTAGAACAAGCACATAACGCCCCAGAAAAGTAAATAAACTTTGGGGTTTATTCACCCACCGATGAACAGGATGTTTACTCTGCACAGAAGTAGTGCCCCAGCATTTACAAACAATTCACTAACCTATGCGAGAGAGAAAGAAGTCGCGGTTGGTAGGTTTACACTGTGTTTTGAAAGCTGTTCTTTAAGAGTGGCAGAGGTCCAGATGAAGAGATCATACCACTGCGGGAATAAAAGTCATAAGGCTCGGTTTACTCGATGCATGTAGACGTAAAAAGGTTAGAACCTGGCCTAGAAGCCAGGGCCGGACCTGCAGCCCTCCCCGCACACTAGCACCCTGCTTAATCCGCCTGAGCCCCTTCCAGCCTGAGCCAGGCAGCCCTCGGGCACCGCGGGCTGCGCCGGCTGCCCTGTCCCGGGCAGGGACCACCCCGGGGGCAGGAGGGACCCGTCACCACCCGGGTCGTCCTGCGGGACGCTTGCCACCAGGGGTCAGCACCGGATCAACGCCGGAGGCTGTCGGGTGCTGCTGGACGGAGCAGCAAGGAGGCAGCAGAGGAGAGGGTGCTCAGCACGGCGCCGGGGCGAGGTCCCTCTGGCCCTGGACACAGGTGACACTGAAGGAGTAACAGACAGACAGCTGTACTGCGCACTCCGTGGCCCTGTCAGGTAGTTTCCAGCACGAACCAGACAGCACATCATCATAGATTCTTCCACGAAAGGGAACACAGAAGTATACTTACATTAGACAAGAAAATAAGCAGCTGCTAGCTTGCTGGAAATGAAAAAAATTAAGTGGCAAGGAAGAAGAGTCTGTTGATTTCAAGCATTTCTGTATCTCACCCCTAAAGCCTCTGCGCTGCAACTGTAAAAATACCATAATGTTAACCAAGCAAGGCAGTGGGGTGGGTAAGCCTCCTTCTGAACATGCTTAGTGCAAGCAGGATGCGGCGCTGTCAGTGGAACTGCTCAGACAAGGCATGCCACAAACGGCCTGAGGATGTTCCATCCCTTTTGTCTTCTCAAAAAGTAAATATTTAGCAACACACCTCATTTTATATTTGCTGAGCTCAACTTGGTGACAACATAGAAACCTGAATTTTTTTTTTGGTTGCTTTTCAATAACATATTGTTTGAGCTCTAATCTGAGCCTTAATCTGTTTCAGTAACAGATTCAAGACTTATTTCCCAAATGTTTCCAATGGGACAATGAGGCTTGTTTGGCATCCAGAAGACATGCTCATAACAGGACATTTGGACTCCTTGTGTAGCTGTTTATTTCATGGGCCCATTAACCTTGTCTTCACCGGACATGTATGCTGATCTAATGTCCCATATTTTAAAATATTTTTGGTATATCTGTAAGACAAAACAGAAGTGCTCAAAGCAGTGCACAGCACTCTAAGGAGTGGACAGTTCAGATATGTTTCAGTAGGGCAAACAACTTTTATTACAGGCTAAATCCAAAATAGTTTAGGATTATTCCAGCCAAGAGACAAGCTGAAATAGATCAATGAATTGTCCCACTGCTCCTCCATCATGCCCAGACAACATTCTGAAACTTCCCAGAAACCAGTGCTTTCCTGAGCTGTGCCAGGGACTGTGGAAAGGCTTGTGGAGCAACTTTTACCTTTGTAATTTAGCAAAGGACTCGTGAACGCAAGCACTCCCAAGCTCAACTCTTAAATCAATTTAATGCATTTACCTGCTGCTAAACTGGCTCATGACAACAGATCTAAGTGCCTGGAATCACTTGTTGCAGAGATGACATCTTCCATATGTAAATTGATACAATGTATCTATATGGTTCATCACTAATAAAAAATTTTACAGTTACAATTTTACATTTGCAAGTGGTCACTAATATGAACATGCAAGATCCAGTGCAAAGTTCAATTCAGAGTTTTCTTTATTAAAATACCTTTTCACATTCCTTATACTAACGCATTGTATGGACACTCATGGGATGCTAGAATGAACATTTCTCAACAGAAGAGTGCTATGAAGTCAGTCATTTGTGAAAGGCTTTTGATAAAAAACAACATTTGCATAGGGAACAATAAATTAGAGATATTAGCCAGTAACTGGAGCTTGAAAATTTAAATGTTTGGAATGAGGATGTAAAATCCTTTTGTACTTCTTGCTGGTTTTGCACCTTTGATGCAATGCTTAAAGCAGTAACTATATATGTATATACAAATCCATGTCCTCTCTTTCACTGTTTTCTAATTAAAACAAGAACCTTCTTACCTGTGGCCCAGATCGTGTAGTACTTTAATCTGCAGTAAGAAAAGGAGAGCAATTGCAGTGTCAAAGACCAGCTGGTTAAGGGGTTGGGGACAGTACTTTTTCTGTTTTGCTTTGCGTTCTTTTTTTTTTAAATTAATGCAACTGAGATAAACATGGGCTGCAAAGATTAGATCCAGGTCCAAACTGGATCCATGTTAGTGGTTTATCATACTATAGAGAAAAAGGATAGGCATGGAGTTCCATACTGGACAAACTGGACACAAGTACAACTTCAGATCTCTCCTAAAATCAAAGGAATAAGGATTATACATAACAGGATTTTCAGGTACAAACTCACTGACCTGGGTGTAGTATATCCACCCACTCAAGACCTATATTTTGCATCATCCAAAATAACTGTGATGGGCAATCATTCTTTGAAGAACCATCACACCAAATTAACCAACAAGCATCAGAACTTTTAAAGGGGAAAAGCAATTTAGCGAAGAATAAAGAATATTTGTGCCTCTACTGATAGAAGCACTTGGTAAAGTACTGAATCTCTGAACAGTTATTCAAGTTTTTAGAGAGCCCAGAGCTCGCTTTTCCATTAGGCCCTCATTGCAGTGTAGTGTCCAAGTGAGCTATAAATTAGCTGGCCCTAAGACTGGTAGCAGTCCAGCTGCTGCGGCACAGTGAGTTCAGCACAAGCTGCAAGATCATGTCAAAGTACATAGCATGGCTGGCCAAGCTGCGCTGAGCTCTGATCTGCCACAGTAGAGTGTTACTGATAACCAAGTTAGCTAGTTTAAAGCAAGCTTAGATATTTCTACATCCTACTAGCATCACAGTAGTTACTGCACTGTAGAAATGTACTTCCTCAGCTGTAGCTTCCCCTTTTATTTCCTCAGAGCATGATGAATTGGAGGCTAGAAAGGCAAAATTGCATTAGCAGGAGAAATTAAAGATGGGAACCTAGGTCAGTGGTTTCTAGAGCCACTTTCCTATGAGAATTTTTGTTCGTAATTTTTTCCATTAAATGCTTTAGGAATATCTCTATTGTTCCCCCTGAGGAAACAAGCTTTGAAAAGAGCCTGGCAAACTCATAAATAAGTGCTGCAGAGCTTTTGAAACATTTGCAACATCTTCCATCTTGGCTTGTTTTCTTCTCCCAGCTGATGTTTGAGATGACTGTTCTAAGTAGCATCAGGATGCCCTTGTATTCTCTGTTGGCAACAAGACCAAAAAAGAAAAAAAAAAGGTATGAATATAAATGTCCCCCTGCTCTCTCCTGTCCTTTTTGATCAATACAAAAACTTTAAATATAGTAACATATTCCTTAGAGCACTGTACAATGAGCTAATAAATACTCACAGTTCCCTGGGGAGATATTAGTATTATCTTCATCAGATAAAAAAGCAAATAAGACAGTGGAAGATTTAGGTTAACAATTACAGGCTAGACTGCAATACTGTTAATCACCGACATCTGCAACTGGGCGCTTACTGATAGAAGTTGGATTCTTATGGGAACTGGCACTCAACGAATCTGAAGGTCAGATCCCTTATTTACTGGTAGATGCCCAGTTGCCACAACTAGGCCCCCATCTTCAGTCCCACAAGAATGAAAACCTTTTCCTAAGAAGCGCTTGGGTATCTCAACAGTGACCAATGCAGTGTTCAATTTTTAGACAACATGTTTCTACAAGAGTCTGCTCCTTTGAATAAGTTATCTTCAGCACACAGCAGGGACATCATAGAAACCTGGCACTGAGAACCACAAAAGGCAGCGTGCAGATAGAGGAGTCCTCTATGTTAGGGGAAAGGGAAAGGGCAAAGAGAGATCCCAAACTTCATTGTCTTTACATTATATGACAGAAATAATTCTGTCCACTGAGGATTCACAACTGTCAAGTCTTTCCTGACATCAGTTGCCAAAGCAAGTCTTCCTCCAACAAATACCTGCTAAGAGTACATGGTGGCCTCTAACCTAATAGTTTAGTCTGTCAGCACTGAGGCGCCTAATTCCTTTTGTGGACTTACCCCCAAAGGATTTGCCCCATGAGTCAGAGGCAGGAATTCCTGGTTTATAATTCAATGTTTATTTCAGAGTATCACCTTGTTTTTCATATCCTGACTGCCTGAAATCCCCCCCCAATTTTAAATGGACACATCCTTCATCTTCATTTCCTGTCTGAAACTATTGTGCCATGTCACTGTGCACAGTTAAGCACATGCCAGCTCCCCCTTTGGAGCTGGCTGTGTTGTGCTGGCGGTGGGAAGCAATTCCCTTACCACTGAAAATTTACAAAATACTTTTGGGATCACTTGAGTAAGATGAGAAAATAGCTGAAAAAACCCCCAGAAATTTCTCTGAATAAATTTAAATTGTACAGTTTTCTGTCTCAGAGGGTACATTCTGAGGTTGAACAAATAGGCAGCTAAAAGTACACTATGTCCTGACTGAGGCTGCCAGTCCTCATGTACCCCTAGGACAGAATCAAACAAACAAACAAACACACACATGTAAGAGGTAATAGGGGAGGAGGAGATATGAAGTCAGAATGTACTGCTGAGGTAAATTTGACACAATACCAATTAGTGTTTGGCGAAGTGGCTATCTCATTGTTAAGATATTTCCTTCAATATGTTTTCAGAAACTGGGACCATTAAATAACTTAGAAAGATTGCCAGCTCTGATTTCAGGAAGGAAACCTCCTCCCAGTTCCTCTCTAAGTAATTCATTTCTTTTGCAAATACTTCCTATGGATGGCATTTAAGATACAAATTTCTGAAAGAGGAGAAAGAGAGAAGCAACCCCCAACCCAAAACTTTAGGTTCATTTCTAAATGACCTAAAAGTCCAAGACATTCAGGTTCAAGGTACCCTGGACTGCTAATCAGTCAGAACCTGTACTGCAACTGGGCCTTTATACAATTCAAATAATTCAAACTTTAACTTATTGTTTTTCTAATGCACCACCTTTCTTGACATAATACAAACACTTTCAATGCCTCTGTGTAACACACTTATTGTCAGTACACAGTGTTTACTAAAGCCCTGAGCTCAATTTTGCAATGGTCTCTCAGTGAAGATGAAGGAAAGTGCCTAAATTTTCTTGCTGGATTATATTTATTCTGACAGAAACTATGTAGGGGCAAATGCACAAGAGCAGGGCTAGCACTCATTAAAATTATTTGCTTCATCTTTCTTTTCCACAGTGCAGTACTCTGTTTTGCCTGTGGCTTCTGGAAGATCAATGCAGAACTGAATAAGTTAACAGAGTTTATCTGAGGTGGAACTCACATTGTTATTTGAATTTAGAGAGTGAAAAGGACAGCAGGATCTGATGTCGAGTCTTCACCATCATTACTGAAACAAAAAGGTTGCATGTCCTCCTGTCTCTGAAAACATAGCTCTTAGAAAAAACACTACTCTCTCTGCTGTGGTGCCCTTTGTCCCACACTTCTGGAATACCTATTACTTCCTGAAGAGAGTCAAATTCTACAAGTTTTTTGACAGGTCACTACAGCTAAGTAATCCATCTGGCATTTCATGTGATTAAGATGCCAGCTGACCAGCCTAGCTCCTGAAGGCCTCCTTTCACTCACAAATTAAGGGAGTAGCAGATCGAAAGCAACTTCACCTCTGAGCCAAATACTTCATTTGGCTATGAAGAAGCAGAACAGCTGGGGAGGAAGTTTAAGCCACTTGATCACTTTATAAGGAGCATTTTCCTTTTCATGAGTAGGATCAACAACTCCTCATTTGGACCAAACCACCAAGGTATATCCCAGTTAAGCATTGTGTGAAAATGAGCTACAGAAAAAAACAGTTGCAAGAAAATAATGATAGAAAGCACCTTAGTAGCTCCCTGCCTCTCCTGTACTCATCTATGTTGCCTGAAAAGTGTTCAGAGGCAAATAGGGGGGGATAGAAAATCTATTAAAAAATTTATCTGTCCAGTCCAACTTTAGGTCACTTATCTGGAGAGTTCAAAAGAGGGATGGTGCTGCTTTTTGTCACTGGCTTTATTGGGAATAGAAGTGGGAATTTAAGAAGCAGAATATGGGGATCTGTTTTTTTGCTATGTCCTTTAAAGCTAATAATTTAAAAAAAAAGAATAGTTACTATGTTAAGTACATGAACAGTATCTAAGGAGGGGACAATGTCACAGACATGAACTGAGTAAGGCTAATTCTAGGAAAACTCAAGATGTGCAAGTGTCATAAAGCTGACTTTTCTTTGGGCTGTTTCTGAAAAGTTACAGAGTAACTAGTTTTATTACTCTCCTACTGTTAACAGGAGTTTGTACAGACAACACAAAAAAACCACTGCCCTCAGCTGACACTTTTCTCCTTGAATCTAACGTTACTTCATAGATTGTCTGGTTTAGCAAGCTTTAACAGCCCAATTAATTATGATGAAAGTGATTTACATGGAGTAGTCAGTGTATTTTCACTGAAGTAGCCTCATTATACTTCCATGGAGAGATTTTTTACTCACTTTTGGCCACAGGCAAAGAAAACAAAAAAACTTCATAAAATTTTAGTCTTTCATCCAATGTCCATCATAAATTATGTAGGGCGTGGAAAAAAAAGACAAAAACTCCCTGAGCTTACACCCGATGTCTATCACAGCCTCTCTCGACCATTTTTCCTTCTGTGTCGCGCAGGGACAAACTTTCTTCTGCGTGACTCTCCAAGGAATGCCTGGTATAACCCAGAGAAGGGTTCAGCTCAATTTATTTTTAGAAAATTGAAAGCAAAGAATAAAAACAAACCTTTAAACTAAGAGAGACAATGATACTATAAACCCTACTGGCCTGTTAATATATGTCTGTTTATTGTAACACAATCTGTGACCTTCAGTGCACTGCCAGTGTCTGTAAATAATACAATGGGCTGCTTTTTTATCCCATGGGGATGTGAGTGCTGATGGAGCCTTTCAAAACTCAAATGGATGCCATAAGCTGACGTAGACTGTGCTATTGTGATTCTTATTTATGAGTCTCTCTCTCTCTCCCTCTCTCTCTCTTTAAGTACAAGTTCCAAAGTCACAAAGTGGATGGCAGAAAAGACACCCGGTCTGCATGGTTTGAGGTTGGATTAGATAGCTTATATAACATTCATAAAAGTACTTCTGAAATGTAAGTTCCCTGCCTCTTAAATCTCTTGAGAGCAGAGTAACGGCTTATTCAAGACATTTATTCTTTTTAAAAAAAAATCAAATTTTTTTCACTGGCTTCTTAGCCGTATAAAGCTGTTCACCACCTTCAGAACCTTCACAAAACTCCTAATTGTTTAGCTGAGATCCTCCATATAGGGATGGTACTATTCTCACCCCTTAGAGCAACATAACTGTGACATAGCTATGCACTCAGAGATAAAAAATTGCTTGCCTTTAAAATTTCTTACAAGGTCTCCATTTTCACCACCAGCCCTTACAGCCATCCCACTTGCTATACCAGTGGATGAAAATGAACCCAGAAGGAAACAGTCACAGACAGCGAACAGAAGTGACTTCTGCGAGTTCAGGTGATCAGCCGTTCCTCCTTACTTTAACTCTTCATTTCACACCTTAGGAAGGACTTCACTTCTCTGGATATTCCAATCACAGAATGTATGTGTGTGCATGTGAGCTGACACACCCCGAGGAGATTCACTGGCACTAGACACCCTATAGATTTTACAGATGGGACTGGAACAACAGCTCTGTCCCCAGAGATAGATTAACCAGCTTAGCAGGTTTTCATATGCAAATCTTGAGTGCCTCAGGTCCATCAGGAACCTGAAGCAAGCAGCAACGATCCCCAACCTTGTGCCATTCTGTCAGCATGAATATTTGTGGCACATATCCAAAGCTGTGTAGGTGTTCAACACAAATTCTTGGAAGATCATTACTTGTCATCTACCTCCTGTACCAGCACTACCAAATACCAGTCAGTTCCATGGACTTTTAAAGCTGACCATTCCATAAACGTAGTACTGAAAGCCTGATTAGTAAGAATATATATGAAGGGATTGCCCAGTAGCTGTCCAGTAAAGGTCCTGCACAACAAATAAACAATTAAAACGTAGCAACACTTGAACATTATCTCACTAGATACACAACAATCTCAATCCAATTTCCCTATATTTAACTGCTTGCATAAAAAGTATACTTACAGAATGCCTGTTTTCCACAGAATCTGCAAAATAAAATACAATGTATAAATTATGAAATGGCACATTGCAGAGTGATCAGTTCTATGTTCCAGAAAATAGACTTTTATGTTTAATCTAACTTTTTTTGTTCATCTTGCAATGATGTAAAATTCCTACCTACAACTAAGGTTCGAGCTCTGGTCCTAAGAAGTATCCAAGTACTAGCTTAATTCAAGTACATGGGTGGGACCAGACATTTCAAAGACCATGTTGAACAGTACATGTTTGACAGCTTTCCTGATTATGGTTTAGAGCAGAAGTCTCTACTGAGAGCACAAGCTGTTACTGGACAAAAAAGAGTCTTCCTTTTAGAGGCAAGTTCTCATGAGCATTATACTTCCTCTCCCAATTCCTTGCCAGGAAAATAACGTACTGCAGAAATCCGGTATAGGATACAATTTTCAGAGCCAAATAAGATCCTGCAAAGACACCTGAAATTTTATTAATAAAAAGATGCTTGTTCCCAATGAAAGCCTGAAAATCAGCAGGCTCCTTCCATTTAGGATCAGTGAACTTTAAGATTAGATCTTAGGTTTTTTTTTTAAAAAGAGGATTTAGCTATTCAGAAGTTTCACAGAATACCTTGAAATACTAAAACATAAACATTTTTTTGCCCTCTGAAAGTAAGACAATCTAGAGACATGAGGAAAGTAACACCGCTTTTAGAAAAGGACTTCAAGTCTTGTTAAAAGTGCTCTTTTGTATGGTCTGTTAAAAGGTATTTCACGTGACAAAAGTAAGTGCTGAATCTTGAAGGGTATTTTTTGGAAAGTATATAAAATCCAGTGGATTGAGGTTGTGTCAAGGAAATTCATCTAATGCTCAAAGAAGAGGGTTTGGACTAGGGCTCTGGGTTAATCTTGCCAGTATTTTTTCTATAAACGTGGGATAGTCTCTGAATCTATGTTTTTTCTAAGTATGTATTTTTTAAATAGCAAATAATAACATCAGTCCTCCCATAGGCAGAACACTTATGTAAATTTTGAGAAGTTCTCTGAAATCGTTAAATGAAGGATATTATGAAAAGTACTACTACCATAAATAGACTTTAATAAAGGTCTTTTAGAAACTCCCTTGCCAGCCAGCAGAAGTAATGAGGAAACTGAACACAGGTGAATCTAACTTTGCAGATAACAATGCCAAGGTCTCTTTTTCTCTGTCCTTTATGATTACATCCATGTACATTTGTGGTGCAGTTAAGCTCGTACAGTTTCTACCATCCGCATTTTTATTACATTAGGATTGTGATTCTACTTCACTGAAAGCAGCACCATGAACACAGTGTACAATCAGACTGCAATTTCTGAAACACAGAGAGACTACATGAGTGTCGCTGGCACTGTACACTGTAAGTTTTCTCCAAGTCAGTTCTACCTAGAACTTTTAGCCTAGGAAAAGGATTAAAAACTGAGGTGACTACAGCACCTTATACCAGTGCATAAACTTAATTTCAGTATAAAATTGATCTCAATGTTTGGCAAGATTGATCCCTATATGTTTAGCCAGTTTGATAAGAAACAAAATAAAAAGTTACATGGGAAACACGTAAAAGCTTTTTGTGTCCTGAAAGCTGACAGAAGTGAAGAAAAACACTGCTGACCCAGTGCTACATCAAAGCTTGACTTTAAGTGGACAAAACTATGTGTAAGGTTTATGAAGTGAGGTATTAATGAGCTGTAGTTTAGTCCTCTGTCACAATGTATTGTGCTTACAGGAAGGAGGAAATGAGAAATTTTGTATAAATTCCAAACTTCAAACAACGGGATGTTTGCTACCCCAAAAGCTACTAGGTCACAATAACAGATATCCCGCCTCCTTGTTATCTGTCACCCAGATTCAAAATAGTGTCGCTTTGTAGCTAAGTATCATATCTCTACCAGGAGAATGTCTTAATCTGTGCTCTTTGAAAGTACTGCTGGAAGGCTATATGATTTCTAAAGGTACCAATGAGGTAAGACAGCATGTAGCCTCTAATGAAAGCACAATGATATGGTGCTTTTGCTGATTCTTTGCTACATCAATCTTTTCACAACCTTTTTATTTCATTCCTGTTAAAATTATGAAGTGTTTTTTACTTGAAACACACCAATTTTACTGTGATGAAAGAGAACAGAGAGATTTTCAAATGACACCTGGCTTTCCCTTACTAACAAAAACAGGGAAATGAGATATGGAGGATTCTAGTCATATACAGAAAAATTGGTCAAGCTTCCATAGCAGGGCAAACAAGAAGCTGCATATTTCCTGAAAGGAATCAGAGCTGAAGGTCTGGTGCTGGTGATTTCTAAAAGATTCCCAAGTCTAATAAAAGTAAGTGTTTTTATGGATTTCTGGTGGATTTAAACTCTTGCTATTGTTTTTAATTGATGGGGTTTTTAATTCAAAGAACACATTTTTACAAAGGAGTACATTAATGGCAGGAATTTAAGACACTGTCATCTCCACCTGCTCTGCTCTTTCTCATTGCTAGAGGTTATGGAGAAGAGAATATATGCCTAAACAGTTGCAATTCATAATCCATCTCAAACCCATCTCCAACACTGGTGAAAGCTAAGATGCTAGATTATCAACTGGAGATGCTGAACTGCAGACACATACTACATTCTGCCAAGCCTTTTATTGGAGCAGTAGCTTCTAACAGAGAATCTTGGCAGGCGGCTTGGGAACACATCTCAAACAGGGGCATGCACGCAATTCAGCTTTGCATTTTAGGTTCAAGCAAGGTCAGAAGCTCCCTGCATATTTGTGTCTTACTGAAAGCATCTGGCTTTGCCTAATTTTTGGCTGAAGCTATTGTAAGCATTTGGCTCTGGAATCAATGTCTCTCAGATCCAGGCTTTGGTCTAGAATATGTCTTGAAACCTGAAGATCCAAAGAGTTTTTATTTTGGAGAAGGGACAGGTTATTTGCATTATTTCAGACTGCATGCAACTAGCATGTGCTTGTAAGGCCTGAGTTTTGAATCACACAATGAATCCCCAGACCCTGTGAGTTTTCTCTGTGCTGGAAAAGGCGTTCAGTGGGAAATTCTGGCTAAGTACAGAGGTGTTAAGCCTGAAGCTCAGTATCAGGAAAGTATTTGAGCAGATTTCCTGATTGCTAGAACTGATTTCTAATAGTTTGTTCCAAACCACTGAATGCAATGGGGATTTCTCATGCCTCTTTCCACTGGGATGTATTTATTTTTCCATAGTACATTGTTGGTTGCAATAGGATCCTTAGAATTTCCTGTCTCACCACTGCAGTTGCTTCCAAGTGACCAATTCATTTTTCCAGACTTAGCAGCACAAAGGCTGGCTCTGCATTTTGTTCACTAGATTTCCATTTTCCTAATAAGAAATTAGGAATAGTTATCTTGCAATAAGCCACTATGAGTTCAATTCAGCGCACATCAAGATCAGTGCAAAGCCTGCCACTGGCTTCTGTGAGCTTTGGATCTGATACAGAGCAAAGGCAGAGCTTACGGAAGGAGCAAGAATGTACTAATACATTGTCTTCCACAAGAAGTGCCCTGAAAAAATGTAAGGAAATCTGTGACCTGGAGTTGGCTTTAGTCTTCTCAGCAATATGAACAGAACTGTGCTACCCCAAGAACTGGGATCGATGTGGAGGTAAGGGGTGGAGCTGAGATAAAGAACCAGTATGGACATGCTTGGACTTCCTGGCCCTACTGCCTCCTGGGAGGATGAAAGGTGTGATGGAAGTAAATCATGCATCTAAAAGAGCCTCCACCCACCCAGCTGAACTTAGTATCTGACACATCCTGACCCCTCCCTCAGGAAGAACATCAGCTGCCAGCCTAGCCTGTTGGGACTCCAGCACAGGCGCAGTAGGCAGCAGGGCCACAGTCATTTTATCATATCACTCTTGGCAGTCTGTTGATTTAGACAATTGCCTGTTTTGCTTAAGTTTCAGACTGTCTCAGTTCTTTCTGAACAAAAAGCAACAGCTCTGGGACTGGGCTGGATATTCCTGACTCCCAATATACTTTGGCCTTTTCATAAAGCAACCAGAGAAAGCAGTATTTTAACGAAATCAGTTCATCCTGATAGGTGTGAAGGACTTTTAGACAAAGCTGTTATTGACCTGACTGGTACTAATTGTGACCATTCCCCAAAATGCCATTTGGATGTAAGGTTTGATTTAAAGGTGAGGCTTGAAGCTTTAGGTATTTTATGTAAAATACTAAAGAAACAGCCTATTGCTCTAGAAAAGGTTTTAAATCAATACCTGAGTGAACTTCCTGAACACTAAGTCTTCTTTCTCTGAATTAAACTAACCTTTCAGTAACAATGCAAGGACAACTTCATCTCTTTCAGTTGCTTCCAGAGACAATGCTAGTGATCAGCATCCTCCTTAAACCTCTCATTATATCAGAGGAAATCTAGCATCCAACTAAAGAGACTGACATTCTCTATCTATAGTACTATTATTTGACTTTCAATCAAAATACTTGATTTTTTGAAGATACTAGACTTGAATTTCGCAATTGACCTGCTTCTCCTACTGTTAACGGGTTAACTGTAGTTAACCACATGCAGATCTGGGATTTGAAATGTGCATTTGACAGTTTGTTTCTGTCTATCTTTAACGTAACACCTCTTTAGGCCTGCTACTCAGAATAAGGAAAGCAGCACAGCAGATAGGATGGGAAGTCTTACCATAGTGTGATGGAGACACTAAAATGATAGTAACAGGAGATAACATAGCCAATACCAGGAAAATAAAAAGAAAAGGAATAATGGCAGATGCTCAGCACACTGCCAAAGGCCTGGGGCTTGGGAAAGGTCAGAGCGTTATCTGCACTATGGATTCATGATTTGGGATAAGGACAAGCAACAGCTGTAGAACTCAAAATACAAGGGAAGTTGGTTACTGACATGGCATCTGCCTTACTGGGGACAGCAGTGAGAGCCATCAGAAAAATGAAGAGGAAAAATATTTCAGCTCAGTCACAAAGAATTGCATCAGACGTAACAACTACTGACAGCTCTTCAGCTTCCTCTCTAGTGGACACAATTTCTGGAATGCACAGACAACTCCTTGAAAAGACAAAATTGCTTATGAAGCACTCAACTCTAATTAAACAAACCCAAACCACAATAGTTACCTACAAACAAATAATAAAATGTTACACAGGTCTTAGGTGTTAAATCTGTCAAACTGTGTAGCTGACACCAATTCCCAAATTCATGTAATTTCCCCAGAGGACACGTTTGTCTGAACCATTAACTTCCTGAAGTAGATTGTACCCTTGGGCATTTGCTCAAAAATCTCAAAGAATATTCAAACATAGTGAAGATCATAATGGTAAACCAACTTCTGCACCCACTAGTAATGTTCAACATCTTTCACAATTGGCCTTTAATATACTTATATGAATATATATTAAAGTACTTAAGAAGATAGATCTATTTCATAGGGATCCTCCACTACATTTATACTTTGCCACCTTGCAATCAAACAGCCTATCAAAAATCAAAGCAAATGTTACATTTAAATAGACTGTAATGTAGCTATCCAACTAACTGCATAGCTATGTGATGCACTGCTTATCTAATTGAAACACTTTTCCTGTGTATCAGTCAGGAAAAACAGACGTGATTAAAACAATAAACTGTCACTATGTTTCCAAGAATAACTGAAACTGTATAATGTTATGCATAAAAGAGCAGGTGGACTGCAAGATTAAGGGACGTTTGCATATCATCTGGCTAATTCAGCTCAGTCTTTCAATCATATCTCATTTTATTGCAGTTTCCACTTTATGGCAAGTACAGTCTTATAAGTGCTTTGAATTATAGCTCTGCTGTACCAACCCTGAGTTTACACTACAACTCACAAAACATCCTTCTAGTATATAACACTTTCCGTCATGTCAAAAATAGGAATGGTGAAAGGTGTAATAATCACACCTTGGCAGAAAGCAAGTGAGGGGTTATACAACCAGCTTCTGCAGCTTGTTACAGGTCCAATTCACACTCACTGGAAAACGTTTCAGAACATTAGTGGCCTTTGGGTTCAGCTCTAAAATGAGCTGGTTTTTTCTCATGATGCTGCCAGGTGATCCCACATGAAGTGCCTAGCCCTGTTCTTTAGTGTAAAGGATATTCTGCTTTTCACTGCAAGGCTGTGAAAAATGAGTACAACATACAGGCTCAGCACCAAGGCAGGAATCAGGATTCTGAAATTCTATTTGCAGTGTTGTCACTCTCTAAACACATTGCCTTAAACAAATGACCTAATCTCTCTGTTTATTCAGCTGTAAGATGGAGATAAAAATTGCCTTATAAGTCCTCACAAGGGAAAATTAAGTAATGTTTTCTAAAGTACTTGGAGACCCTCACATGAAAGATTCCCTAGAAACAGAATACTGTGTCAGAGCAGGTGGGAAATCCCTTATAAAATAGAAAAATAGCAAATTAAAATACAACGACCAAAAATTAAAAATGGCACAGAACAAAGCTACTTGGTAACACAGATGGGGACAAAACCTGAACAGTTTACAGCCCTAATATTTGCAAATCTAGACTTCCTAACACAAAGAGAGGAAAGGAAATCCTTTCTGATTTAGTCTTTGACAAACTATGAAGAAACACTTTTAACCTACTGTCTCTGAACTCATTACTGCCAGAACATTTACAGACAGTAATTGCCAGTAAGCTGCTAATGCCCGCATACAAAAGCCTGTGTTACAGGAGGCGGAAGGGTAGAGTGGCTGGCACATACAATCCGAGACAATTTTTGATGGTTCTTAAAACAAACAACCCATCCTACTGAAGTGATCATATTGCTTTAGAGGTTTTTAGAGTTTGTTGTTGGAGGCTTTATAGATATTTACTGGGGTTATATCCAAAACGAGTGTAATATTTTATGACACATGGCAAACATGCTCAACTAAGACGAAAAGTGTTGTTCATGAGCAGTTTGAGATAACACAACATAACATCCTAATCCCTAACAGGGCATGTTCAGCTCCAAATTCAGATACAGATGTATGGCCCAACTACTTAGCAGATACAGTACAAATGGGCTGAAGTAGATGATACAAATATTAATCTCATTGCATTAAATATAATTGGTTTATGAGAAACCGTGAAGGTGTTACACAATTTATCAACACCTGTGATTTCGTAGCTGCCCTTCAGTATGTTCCTATGTGACTTGGATCTCTTTTTTATGGCATTTATATTCTAAACTATTCAGTCACAAATTTATCCCTAATCTCTATACAAATGCTTCCTTTATGTGTTTAATTTTTCACTAGCTTACTTACCATTATTAGCTTTTCTGATTTCACTATAAACTGTTTCAGTCCCCTTCTGTACAGGAGCTGGAAAATGTATTGGCACAGAATCAATTTCTTTTCTTTTTTTTTTTGTGTTTGCCTTATGAAAAGCTCCTTAAACAAACAGAAGACACTGTTTTACTTTCAGAGGAAGTAGTTAACATAAGCAGCAACGAGCCTGTGGAGTCTGTATGAAAAAGCAGTTACACCCCCTCCCCCAAACCCAGACTGTAAGGTTCTGAGAGGGAGATGTCTCTCCCTCTATATAAAAATGATGATGAAAATAAGCTTCCCTTTCCAAATTTGACTTTAACATTCTAATAATCTTCTCAAATTGATACTGCTTTAGTTTTACAGAGACATCTACCACTAGAGAATAGTTTCTCTGGATCACTTTGAAGAGCTGCTTCAATTTGTTCTAAGGATTTAGGGATCCTAGACCTGAGGAGATCTATCATTTGGAAGACTAACTACACCCCCTTTTGGCAACTAGCCTGATTAAATCTTATGGGCACAAAAATAATCTAATTTGCTGTTGTTTGTGAAATGTCTCAGAAGTATATTTGCAGATTTCACCCTGCACAGCTTCTATTTAGGTGCTACCCGGGAAAGGTCTCCTCTCAGTTCCTCAGCGTGGTGGACTATTCCATTAGTGCACTGAGATCAGGTGGACGACATAGCAGGAGTGAAGGCTAAGAAGGCTTGTGGAAAGATAGAAAGTAAGGAGAAAAAGCAGACAGAGAAGATTTGTGCCTACAAGGACACAGCTGGGATACGAATAAAATGTTAGTCTTAGACACATACTTTTCAGACTTTCAGGTTTACAAATAAGACCCTGTAAACCTCTGCTCTTGTATGAGATAGAAAGCAAAAAGCTCTTCCTTTTTTGCTGTCTGACATCTGTCAAAACCTATTTGCAGAGTTTTGATACCAAACTACAGGCACTTACCCCAGTAAGGAAGGGGCAGAGCCTTGTCTAAAGGCCTGAAAATAGCAAGAACTCAGTTTCTCTGTGGTCAGTGTAAACACAGCTCTGGCTAGTAGGAGATTAGAACAATTTCCTTGATTTCTTGCATGGTTGTAAATTAAGAATCCCTGGGCAACCATAGTAAAGCAAAGTGCTCCAGAACTCTGCATTTAAAACCACTTTCTTCATTTGGTACGAAGGCCTATGCAGGCAGGGTCTAGGAGCTTGCTGTTCAAGGATCTCAAAGCGTTTTAGAAACATTCCTTCATTTCAGTTAAACTGAGTCTCTTAGAAAACCTCAGAATTCTATCAATATCACCTCTGAGTTCTGTGGATCTTCAATAAACCAAGAAGTTAGATTTTTCTAGTTAAAAAAAAAAAAAAAAGAAAATGGTTGTTCCCTCTCTGCAAGAAACTGGAAAGAAAATTCACATTTCTGGATACAGAGTCCTGTACTTTAGCTTTAAAAAAACATTTAAAGAATTCAGACATACTGATCTGCAGCCAGACTCAGAATCAGGATTGTTACTCTTCTGCTTCGCTCTGAAGAGCCTAAGTGTCTCTGGCACCACATTTTAATTTCCCAAAGCTAATTTCATTTTTTTTAATTCTGTTAAGCATCCTTTAAATGTTGGGAGCTAACACATCAGAATTGAGCTGCAAAACTGCTATTAATTTCAATGACAGTAGGAGTTACACTTCACCGAGTGCCTAATCACAGCTTTCAAACTTGCAGTTTTGGCATGAACTTTCTTTACAAAATAGTCTGAAGATCTTGAAGGGCATTTCATATGCTTATGGACTATTGCTTAAATGATCAATTCAATTTCCAGTGAAGTAAGGAGTAATCTTCTCAGAATTTTAATGAGAGGTAGCTCATTTCATTTGGAACACTTTTTTTTAGCAGATTACAGTCCTATATCTACTCCTGTTGACTCTGTGGAAAGACTTGGTGGGAGGCATTTCCTTAGCTTGCTTTTTTTTTTCAGACCCATTTCATTAAATTGTGATATAATGCCACTGCCCATGTTATTTTCTTTGTTAATCTTCCAAAAGTCATCTCAGCACTGAAAAAATGTGCTAGGAGAAATTACTTGGATGATTTGACATTTTGTTCCCACTAACTTTATAATGTTGCCACCCTGCAGATAACTAACCAGCTATAAAAGTAAAAGAAGGAGCATGTTCCTACTCAGCCATGATTAGCAGTTTCTCCCTTCTCACTTTAGGGATATTTCCTGATCTTACTTTAGCACCAGCCTTTGTTTTTGCTTGGATTAACAATAAAGGGTCTAAATCACTATGCCACCTTTTTGCACAACTAAGCTTTAGAAAAGATAAGCACTATATTTTTGTCAAACATATAATCGCCGTAAGTATTCAATTTAATCATTCCCTAGAATTACCACCTCTTTAAATATCAAATTAACATTCCACTGTGACTACCCCAAATAAGAGCTGGACTGTGTAGCCCCAGCTCTACCTCGTATTTGTCTAGCCTCTTCACCCCTACTTCAAAAAGTAGGTGTCAAGTTATGCCCACGTGGAAGTTTTAAAATAAAGCAGTGAAACTTTGCTTCCAGCAAGCTTACCACTATCAGTAACACTGTAATGAACCCTGGTTTTCACTCCTCATACAGAAGCATAGTACATATAAAGCTCATGATGCACTAGCCTATTCGCCATTATACTGTGTTAAAAAGTATTTCAGAAATGACCAGCTAGTGCAGACATGGGTGAAACCACTGTTTTCAAATGTAAGTAGTTCTTTACTGTCAAAGACAAGATGTACATCCTTCTACAATTATGTAAACTTGTTTTGAGGTGGCATTCAATTATTCCTGATTCCCAAAAGTGACATAAAGGCTACTGTTATAGCTTCAATACTGCAGCATTTATTGCAGTAGTCTTTCACAATACACAAAATATGATTCTCCTGCTCCTGAAATGAACATTAGTATTGATATTGACAACAGTGGCAGGAGGAACAAATGACTGGGAAGATAAATTAATTTGAAGTTAGTCCTGAGAGATCAAAGAAATCTGGAGTTCCTCAAAAGGCAGAAGGAATCAGAATCTATGTGCAGCCTGCTGGATGAGATATGCATGCCCAGAGAAAAGGTAAGCGTGATATACTTTGTCTTCATTCAGAAAATAGGTGGAATCAAAAGAGGCGTGATAGGGATTTGGAGCTAGGTGATAATCTGAAAGGTCTGTTCCCTAAGAAGGACTGGTCATAATCCACAGACAGACATGAAAGAATATTATGATTTGAAACAAAACTTGTACAATAACATCAGTGTGGCAGAAGTATCGGTGTCAGTCCTATGGCTGAATTATTTTTGTGGGTGTACATGATTATTACAAGGGTATATAAAGAAACTTGGCTTTGCTTCTCTTTTCCCAAGAATAAATCTCATCCTGTTCTCATTGTGATAGGCAGTGCAGAGCTGAAAGAATTAATCTTGCAACTTGGTTTCATACAACTCCTTCCATTTAAGCAGCACCCTCAAGATGCTCTGAAAGATTAACACATTAAATACTTGCAGTGCAGTTCCCATTTATGTAACCAAAGCATGCATTTGCTGAGCATTCACTTGTGTCCTGGGTGCAACAAAAGAAATAGATTAGGGAGCTATCATATCTCAATATACTTAAAGCATAGTTCAGTCTTACAGAATCAATTAATGTTCTGTATGTCATACATAGGTCTGTAACATGAGACAGCATTCAGTCAAAATAATCTGATCTCATTTACACACCATCTTTTAAACATTATTTTGCAGTTTGCAGTTTAATGGCGTTCAGTCTACATAGCATGGATACTATCTTATTACTCAGTCTGGTATACTGGAATAGTATTATATATCCGGAATGGGATGAAAAGGCTATTTTTAGAGATGCTGATCTTGCATTTAATAGGGCTTTTAATTTAAATAATCATGCACTAGCATATCTTTACCATTCTACACCATTGTATTGTATAGTGCACGCTCAGAAACAGTTGGAACAATTAAGTATTAGCCCTATTGTGAAAAAGAGTACAATTACTATGGTATCTCAGTGCAGAATTGAGCAGAGGTAGATAAATAGCATGCTTAGAACACAGGGAAAACTCTGTGATGAATGATACCAGCAAGTGAAAACAGAGAAAGAATAGGAGGACTGGCTTTTCCGGGAGAGCTTTGCTGCCAAGCTTGAAGAGTGAGCACTTTTGCCCAAACATCTGTATTACTAATTAAACAATCATGTCTTTGGTCTCTGAAATAAGTGAGTGGTCCTTCCTACCAGGAAAAAGCAAATTTATCCATTTCTTCCTCAGTCTGCTTCTTATTCAGCTAAAGCAAAGAAGCTAGAGCACAGCATAAATGTCTCTTGTGGGTTTTATTCACTCTTAGCTACTTGAAACTTTTTGCAAATTTCTGAAAGATTTAACAGCTTTCAACACAAGGGCGTAATGATATCCCAGTTCTCCAGATGACACAGAATGATTGAAGTGTGCATTTGGGTGTTGAGAATAAATTTCAGTGGATATTTCTCCTTCAAGGTTGCAGAGACATGTACCTTAGCCTCATGCTATGAGGTCTGGTTACTGTTACTATAGAACTACAGGCAGGAGGCCAAAGTTATCCGGGCATCAATATTCTCATTTCTCTGTTTAATGTGCCACAAAATCCAGGATGGTCGCCAGGCCTCTCCAGACTGAGAGACTAAATCTACGCTGGTCTCTCTTCCTTCTCTATCACAAGTGGATTACAGCTTTGACCCTTCAACTAGTTCCTTTATAAAGGAAGAAATTCCACTGCTTTCTGTTCTCTCAGTTATCCTACACTGTGGCTAACCTCACATGGCTCTCAGTGAATTTGGACTCTATAACATGAAGATTCACAGCAGGCTGCCTTCTGCTCAGAGCCACAGCTCCAGCTGGGAGCCCTCCTCTGCACAAACCTCATGTGGATGGGAAGGGCAAGTGCACGAGAGGACCCCAGGGGAAGGAGGGCTGCAATGAACAACAGCATGGTTGCCACAGCATCATCTAGATTAAGGAGCACTACTGGCATGAAACTGTCATGCACACAAAACACAACCTGCTCTTACATTCACAGGTGCCAATATCAGACCAGTGTCAGGGAGTAGTAACATGCCCAGAGTTGCTCCCAAAACATAACCATAGAGGCCAGACAGTTTATTACCTCTGTGAGGATCAAGCGTTGATACTTCAACTTCAGTGTACTCCACCTCAGCACTCTCAAGGTCAGGTCCTGCCCCAAAAATATCAAGAAGATGTTTCTTTGTAGGACTGCATGCTTCATTTGAGCTGTGGGCCTGATCCTGCTGCCACTGAAATTAATGGACAAGTCCTCATTGACTTTGATAGGTGCAGGATCAGGCCCTACTTATGGCAGATGTGAGTTACTCTGCTAAGAGTTGTAAGGCCAACCCATTCCTAAGGGTCATCCCAACCTGAAAGGCAGTAGACCAACTCAAGTCAGATTTCTGAAACTGTGGGACGTGCAAATTGTACCTAAAACTCTTACTTTCAATTTCACACCTTCAAAAGTGGCGCAACACAAATGGAGCAGGGAATTATCTGAGATTCTCCCATATTCCTGCTCCAGCTCCTCTCTCTTCTATTTCTCTCTCTGCCATTCCTTTCTCCTCCTTTTCTATGGCTGCTATGGCAGGACACTTCCCATTGTCCACTTTCCTCACATTTAAAGCCTTCTCCAAGTCTTTCATGGCCTCCCTTATCACCTCTCATACTCTCAATTTCTGCTTTGCCAATAAGCAATTTCAGCACTTTTCTCTTATGTTGCCCTTCAAGCTCTCCATAGAACATCTACCATGGCAACCCATCTTCCTCCTCAAAATGCTTCTCTGCCACAGTGCCCAGAGAAAGCCTGACAATGATTAGACACCTGATTTACTAAGACTACTGGCTGACAAGTACTGGCTACGTGGATACAACAGACACAAGAAACAGCCGTTGCTTTCTACTCTGTCTTTTCCTTAGGGTGGAGATGGTTTTCTACTAGATTTCTGTAAAAGTTGCAAGGAACCACCACAGTCATCCAGACTGGAATCCTGCAGAACTGCTTGTGGATTTTTTAGAACAGAAATTAGAGAAGGATCTAATGATTAGAACAGCAAAGTTTTGGAGCAGCCTTCTGATAGCATTGGTGAAAGAAGGAAAAAAAAAAAAGCTGAACAAAACAAAAACAGTGTTTAAGGTGGTATATTAGTTAATAACAAAGTTTAAATGACATGCTTCCTACAATAGCAGTGATTCTGAACAACAGATCATACACATATTCTGTGTATGAGAATACTTTCACATCAATATAACAAAAAAATACATGGGACAAAGTATGTTTTCACATATTTAAGTACTATTCTTTGACTAAATATCTTAAAAACACCAGTCTTGAAGAATACAAAATGCTAGATGATGCACTACTTGATGACATGTTTTAATGAATATATATATATATATCCCACATGGTGTCTCAAGGTATTTGGCAGGTTATTTTATTCAGATTCCATAGCAGATTATGTTTAGGTTTAATGCTTAAATATTTCAAGATCTGCAGAAATGAAGAAAGGACAGAGAAGTAAAAGAAGCAGAATTCTGCAGAAAAGATTAAAAAAAAAATTCTGAATATTTGTTGTATAGAACTTAAAATTTTGAATCTAGGTTGTATTTTTATACCATCCTTCATTACATGGCCTGGAATCCAGCACAACTTGATAATGCAGTTGATAAATGGGTCCTATCGTTGTGATTTTGCACATAAGGAAAAAGAACTAAGCTCAGCAAAGGAAAGAGTCTTCCCCAGTACCAAAGAGAAAAAGGAAAGGACTGGACCTATCAAATCCTGACGGCTACCATTAGAAAACATCACAACTTTCAATCATAAAATAATTCTTAAATCTATTAAGTATGAAATTACCTTTACTCTCATCTGTTGATTTCATGTGATTTTCACTATCTTCAATGTAACCTGATCCTAAAATATTAAAGCAAAAGTTGAGCTGACAAAATATTTATTATAGCCAATCAAATAAATGAGTTACACAGCTGCAACTCCTATTGTCATTATGTTTATTTACATATGAAAAATTCTACTTTTAGATTCACACCTAAGACATCCATATAACACAGGTGGGAAGAATGTGGTTTTTTACATGGTCAGCTAAAAAACACCCAAGGGGTAACTTTGTTTATATCAGGTGCTCTAAACAACATGTCCACCTATCTTTGTAAAGTGCATTGAGATCCTGGAATGAAAGGTGCCCAGTTACGGCAAGTGCACATCGCTATACTGTGGCCACATCACAAGACCATGAGCCACAACTCAAACTTCCTCTCTGAAATAAATTTTCTTGCAGCTGTGTCAAAACTGTCAAAAACAGAAAGTAATTTTCTTTTTCCATGATTTCTCCATCTGTAATATTGTTAACTGATTGCCTGGTAGAAATGTCTGAGCAGACGTATAAACCCATCTTTGTATAAGAAGTTTTGTATAAGACGTGCTCATAAAAAAAAGTACAAAGACAAAACAATAGAAGATACTTGGGAGAACGTTATTGGTATTCCTCTGTATTCCAAAACCACTGGGCCCTTAAGTCCAAAACTTTAAATAAATGTTTAATTAAGCCAACTCACTAATAGTCTTACAGCAAAATATCCTACCTGAATAGTAGTCTCCATCATTGTGTTGTCTTGTCAGTTTTTCACTTGTCAAGTTTGTAGCCAAGGCAGAACTGAAAAGCAAACCAATAAAAGTTGATGTAATTATCCAAAACCAGTCAACAGAAACAACATAATGATATGCAAAGATCAGTCATTGACTATGCTGACTACCACACATTCTTAACTATTGAAGCTAATGAAAATTTTGCCTTTGTCTTTAAGAGAAGCACAAACAAACTTTAAGGTAAAAAATGTTCTCTCTTGCATTATTCTTCTTTAAGACCTCTGTATTTTTAATTCTATATCTAAATGCATTCAAATGCAGGCCTGACATTCTTCTATTTCTCTTAGCTGGCCTTTTTTTTTTTTTCTATTTTTAGCGTATTTCCTCATCCTGTTGTTCTGTAAGCAGGTGGTACATGAAGCACAACCATCTATTGTCTGCATCCTGTTGCTGTAAGCAGGTGGTACATGAAGCACAACCATCTATTGTCTGCAGGTGTGTGCCATAATAAACTATATTCATATGGAGGAAGGCCTCCAGCCCTTTAAACAGAAATACTTCACTGTTACCATAAAGCAAGCCATCTTACCCAGACATCTCCATGGATGGTCCTTTAGCTTGACAGAGAAAAATAAAAGCATCTATTAATAGATTGCACAAGTAAAAGAATTTAAAAGTAAAAATCAAAACAAAAATATTGTGATTATCTACTGAAGTCAGAATAATTTCTCTTGGCTATCACAAAATTAATTACCTAGTGCCTTACATCCTGTTTATCACCCAGGTCCCTTAAATGTCTCTTTCACAGAGAACCTAAGATCCCAAACCCCAGACTTTAGCCTGGCCAATTTAAGCAGTCTGGGATATCCAGATACTCCAAATTTTCCCAAATATTTTGCAATGTACTGCATATCACAGGATAAACCAGATTTACTTATTTTCTGAAAGAACAAGATCGGAAAGAAAACCTTAATGATAAAAGACAAATCCTTAAATGAAATTGTATTTCAGTGTGGGGAGAAAAAAAACAACCCCACAACCTAATAATCTTAAATTTGTTTCATGAGGAGTAGAGAAGTACCTCAATTACACCTGAGTTGGGACCCCAAATCAAATTGTCATAGTTCTATAAGGGATCAAAAAACTCCTCAGGCCCTGTCTGCCTCTACATTGCACGGGACTGGATTCCAGACCTAGGACTGCATCAGAACAGTGCAATTCTGGCCTATCTCCAATAACCTTTGCTTCACTAGTGCCTTCCCAGCACCATTAGTTAGATGCTCCCATTCTGCCCAATATACTTAGAGAGCTTCAGCACACTTGCAGCTTAGATTGGGCCACCCAGCATTTTTAAGTAGGTTTTTAGTTTTTTAAAATTGTATTTAGTCATGTCCTGAAGCCTCACCCCCACAAGCCTTTGCTCCTGAAATAAATGCAAATTTAACTGTAATATATTTGTCACCAAACAAATAGAAGGGAACCATTCATTACCCTTTTTCTTCTTACACAAAAACCACCATAAAGTGAGAGTTACTGCTCCTGCGATAGGTATTAGGACAAATGCAGCAATGACTCCTTTCTGCCAAGCCGCTAAGATGACTGGAAATAAGACAGACATGTTTAAGAGAGTATGTACAGTGATGGGTCATCATTACCAACTTCTCCAGTTCCTGACCTTTCATTTTACTACAAATTGGCCTTCTTACACACTGGGGAAGAACTTTAAGGAGACTTGCATGTAAGTTCACTAGTGAGCCTCTCCTTTGTGACTGAAAACTCAGTACAACAACGGGTTGCTTTTAACTTGCATCTGGCTCCTTTGGCTTTTAAGCATCCCTTAAACTTAGAAAAGTTAGACAGTCTCTGTTTATAAATGGATCTCTCTGTTTAACTTCTGACAATGGTGGAACAAAAAACAAGTAAGGGAGTTATACTTAGTAACATCCCAGATAACATGATCTCACCTGTCCTAATGACATAGTATGCAGCTTATCATAAAAGTTAGCTTACCACTGATCGTTATGGGATGGCTTTTCACATCCACATTAGCTTTATTAGAAGCCATGCAGTAATATGTGCCTGTGTCCTGCCTGTTCATTGTTTTCTTGTGCCACACGATGCTGTTTGCATTTTCACTTTTTTCAAACACAAGAACTTCATGATCAGTTTTTCTAAAAATCCTGAAGTGGATTGGCCAAGATCCTTCTTTCACAGAGCAGAGAAAAGCAGTCTCACTGCCATCTTCCACTTCTCCATATGGAATACTGCCCAAGCTGGCATTCCTGATTGGTACTACAGAGGAAGGCACAAAGAAAACAAATATTAGCACTATTAGAAATAACTTTGATGATAAAATATTGTATTGTAGAAATACTTGCTTTAATGCTTAGTTAAACAGAGACTGAATGCACAGTATTAATCTTTCTGAACAGCCTCTGCCAGACAGCATCCTCTAGTAAATATTTTTATACACCCAGAAATAAAGAGGGCACTATAAAGAAACAAAGTAGACACAGAAGAAAACTACATGCATTCCACAGAAGTCAGCCAGCCTCTTTTCTTAAACTCCTTTGGATGCCCCTCAGGCCCCAACCTACAAATTATTTAATTTTCAGTAATAATACACTCAGCATTTGATAATGTAAATCATTATAGTTCAATTTATGTAGCTATGCTTTCATAGTTATGTAGAGTTATGCTATTTTATGCTAACTGTATTACATCTTTCTTGTCACATTTAATATACAATAGTGAATATCAGCAGATAATGGATCAAGTTCTTCAAAGGCATAAGCAAGTCCCAAATTCTAATGGTTACAGAATATAGCAAACACAATGAGAGAAGTTAGTTTACATTCGAACAGGTTGTAAGAATATGTATAGCCAAAATATAGTCTTTAAGTTTGCTGTTTTACAAATTAAGTATATTAGCATATACAGAGCTAGTGTAGGAGCAGATGAGCATCAGCACTTATAATTACATGGGGAAAAAATGTACATACATTCTGTGATGCAAGTCTATGTCAGTAGCTTCACAAAATGTTTGGGATATGAAGCATCTGTTTTGCTAAAATTACTAAACAAAACTTCTCTGGAAATATTATAAATGTGTTTGGGGCAGGGTCATGGATAACAAAAGGCAGATGCAAACGAGGAATCATTAAGGCAACACTGGTACAGAAGCAGAAGGAGGAAACCAAATCTGATATGAAATGATGCTAGTCATGAAAGCTGTATTTGTGTTAGATAGGAAGCAGGAAGCAGATTTAGATATAAGATGTGGGTTACTGTGACTGATCCCATGATAGAGATGATTGCTCTATGAAACATAAGTCTTTTTTCAGATCTGGTACAGACAGAAAGGACACAATACAGAGAATTCGAAGCCACCACCTCAGGAGTGGTGGATTGCAGAAGATTGGCTCACCAGGCTCCAAAATGTGACTTACTATTCAGAACTTCCAAACAATGTCACAATATATCCTGAACCACCGCTCTAACAGCTGGGATACACTAGTTCCAGCAAAGAAATACCCACTTGTTAATAGACTAAGATTATGCTTTGTATTTGTTTATTTGTTACTTGTTATTTCAAATAACCTTGACTTTAAATCTCACTGGATAAATCTCTTCAGAGTTTTATCATTCAGCTTCTCTCTAGTGTTAGCAAAGCATATCCTGGTGGAACTGATGAACTTAAGGTGCAGTCCTACTTCTATAGTCTAGGCAAATGCAAATACTGTATTAAAAGACCTGTTTGGGGGCTCAGAGAGCGGAGAGCATGTCCCTCAACTGTGCAATAATCCAACTGACTCAGAAGAAATCGAACAATTCCAGATATATCTGTTCTAGTCATATACAACTCGATGTCAAAACTCAGAGAGAAACAAGCCCATTAACCACAAGTTTATCTTAATAAAACCAATACAATTCGGGTTCAAGCCAGGACACAAAACTGAAAACTCCCTGGTAGAGAGAGATTCTCTCTTCTTTTCAATAGGTCAGGAATAGACTTCTGCTCTGGTACTGGACTACTTTTCCATAACCAGGTTAAGTAAATCTAAAATACTGCTGATACATTCAAGAAAAGTACCAAGGAGCCAAGGATATGGGTTAAAATGGCTCTACAAGTGGATCCGCCATCACCAATTCCCTTACTTACAGTCCCAAAGAACTCTCTTTTTTCCCAATAGCTGTTTGTGGTTACTACCTGGTCAAATAACATTGACATAGGTGCCAATAACATGCATAGGATACACAGCTCTACTTATCTTTCACCACATGTTGCCAAACTACTACCAAAATAGTCAATTTTTTTGACAACATCAGACTGATGAAACTGACCAATTCTGAACCAAGTAAGGTAGAGGTGACACTACTGAGCAGACAAACTTTTTGAAGATGTTACAGGCAAATTATTATTTCCTTTAGTAAAAGGTCAATACCTACAATTAGTTGGTTCCTTCTGTAGATTAAGAATATTCTCAGGTCTGCCAGGAGCAGCAGCCACAATCAATGCTTTATTTCCACTTGGATAGGAGACTATTATTTCTGCTTGCCTCGTTCACTATTAAAGATGAACCCCAACAAGACAGTATCTTGTCAACATGAAGCCTGCAACTGTTAGGGACCTTCATCTAGTACAGAAGGCTTCAGTATGCCTCCTCAAACAGCTACTCTGTTCTCTACAATTATTTATCTCAGATTTTCAGATTAAATTCAAGGTGCAATCCGTATCTTGGGTACATGATATCCAAGAAGCTTCCTTAAGGCCTATAGCAAAACCTTCAGTAAACAAATAAGTTCTTTGGGCACACAGGGAACTGCTTGTGATGGGGACAGAACATATCTAAATCAGTGACAGAATTTTCTTGAGCCAAACCTTTGAACCACTAGGATCTAAACCAGGAACTGTCACATGAAACCTCACTACCATCTACTCCGAGTGCACCAAAGAAATCTACAGAAACACAGAATACTGGTTAAAAAATCCTACCAAGACAAGACGCTCCCTTACACGCGTAATGATGGAAAACCACACGCACATGTTTTAAGAGTTATCAGTCCTGACACCCATCTTATGTGGCCTACTATAGAATTATTATTTGCTTCGGTTTCTCTTCATATCTGCCAATAGCACACTTGCAAATCACAGCTTTTTCACTTGCATTCCCCTTCTTGGAGTACTGCTAAGATTCTCAGCGTGTATCAGACATCATGCTGTCTTCTGTGGACTTCCAATTCATCTTCTTTTTAAAGCTTCAACTACCAACTTCCCTCATGGGCAGAGGAATTTTCCCTTTCTGCTTCACACATATTTGTAGATCAGAGACTTTGCTCATATACAGTAACGCCTAGTTGCTAATAAGGCATAATAAAAGACTGACTCTCAGAGCTGCTTAGCAACTGCAGCTTCTGGTGTTGAACATATGCTCAGTGCCTCTGAAAACTGCAACTAATAACAGAGGTATTTAGAGGGATTATTAAAAGTACGGATTTACATCTTTTACCAGGAATCTAGTTAGCTCAATTATTTTAGTGAGTAAAATCATAGACTAATTCCAAAATCATTATGTATACATTTAATCCAGTCCTATGAAAATCAAACATGAAGAAAATGGATCTGGTCCTGAAATTTTAATCATTAATTTTACTAAAACAGCTTCTATAAAATTTCAAGTCAGATCTGTTTTTAACATTAAAATAAACTCAACTGTAGTTAACTTGATTCAGATTACTATCAGAATTTTTACTTTAGTGACAAATAGTCTGTGATATGGATCTCCAACTATTTTTAATTCAAGTGAGCAAAAATTTGTAAACATTTCACATCCATTTTGCTTAGTCCATCATTTGCTGCTACAGTTTCAAAAAATCAAAATATGATATTAGACAAGAAGAAGAATTAAACAGACTTACCTATTACTGTGATGTTTAGAATATTGCTAGTTTTCATACCACTGGAATGATTATTTCTAGCATCACATTTGTATCCTCTTTTGTCATTTTGTCTAATATTTTCATCCAAGAACGTAGCATATGTATCATTAGTTACTCTTTTCTTAACTTCATTTCCTTTGTAGAACGTGAATGTTATTGGCGGTGTTCCCATCACTGAATGACAGATTAACCGTAGAGGCTTCCCTAACACCACCTCCGGTAAACCACTGACAACGGAAAGAGTTGGCTTGGAGACTGGAGCTAAAAGGGGAATAAAAGAAAAAAATGTTGCAAATTACACTGTATAAGGCCAAAAGATACAATATTATTTTATAGAAAACATAAATATACAATATTTAGCTAGTTTGCACACACATCCTATATTGGGAAGCTCTTCCTCATTGATAGAATGGAAGCAGGGGGTGACTTGAACAAAACAAAACCCATAGATAATAGAACATATGTGACTTAGAATAAAATAGCATACAAGGAGAATGTAAAGGAAAACAAAAAAAGGATCAGTGACACAGCTGTGGATCATCCAAACTCCAGAACTAGCTCTGACCCAAGGACTAAGTCTGTAGAGCAAAAATATATGCAAGTACCATTGCATGTATTACCTGAGATGGATTCTGCAGCACCTAATCAAGGACCTCTGTTTCTGCAGCACAGTGAGTCACAACCCAGTTAATCCCCCTTATCAGACTTGAAAACCGACTGTGCTTGTTCCATGAGAGGGAAGGAAACTAGGGTGTTTATAATTAGCATGCTGGTGAGGGGGTTGTATTGATAGCAAAAAACTTGGCTTTTCTGGAGTAGAGCTATCCAGATGACCTCCGGCTCACATGGCTTTCTGCCTGGAGGGTCAGGGGGAGGGATTCAAGGCAGACACTGACAGTTTCAGATCAAACTGATGAGTGAAAGGTTTGCAGAACATTCCCAGCTCCTGCAAATGGCAATGAATGAGAGTTTATTTGGCACCTAGCAGAATCAAGGGAACACAAGGAAGACATGCTAACTTCCTTCTCCTAGGGCCGGCCCTGGAAAAGTCTGACTTGATTAAATCACAATAGGCCAAATCCTCTACAGCTAAAGATTACCAGCACATCTTACAGAAATTAATTATGCATGAACTAATAGACTCCCTGCTAGTTCATGGACTAGACACTGATTCTGTAAACGGATGTGCTTGTATATAAGTTTTGATTTTTTCCCCCCACCACTGGGTTCTAAGCCTGTGTATCAACTCACCATAAACATTTATCCTTACAGGTTTGCTCTCCTTGACTATTCCTTTTACTTCAGCTTTACAGATATAGGATCCAGTATCATTCACATTAACTCTCATTGTTAAGTTTCTAGAATTTGTCAACCAGATGTCTCCATTTGAATTTTTCCGTAATATAGAGAAGTTAGCTTTCCGAAAAACACTAATGTTGCAATTCAAAGTTAACTCTTTATTTTCATCCAGCTTACTCATAGAAGCAGCCAATATTGGCTTGGGGAATAACTCTGCAAGATAAAAAGAGAACAAATTCATTCAAATTGAGCCTAAAAGAATATGACTACCTACCTCAAAGTATACAGAATGAAGGACATACTGAAAGTTTACAATGAGGTAAAAAAACAAACCTGTTATTTTAATATAATAATATGCAATTCAAAGTTAACTCTTTATTTTCATCCAGCTTACTCATAGAAGCAGCCAATATTGGCTTGGGGAATAACTCTGCAAGATAAAAAGAGAACAAATTCATTCAAATTGAGCCTAAAAGAATATGACTACCTACCTCAAAGTATACAGAATGAAGGACATACTGAAAGTTTACAATGAGGTAAAAAAACAATCATGTTATTTTAATATAATAATATTTTCAGGGAAAACAGAAACTTAGCAATCATTTGAAACCACTTCTCATATGTGTTATGTGAAAGTATTATTTTAGCTGGAAAGTATTGGCAGGCAAAAATCAGAAACCGAAATCTAAATCTAAATAGCCTTTAACTTAGGGGAAAATTTACACTTAGATCTGGAGGTTACACTTGCATCTTGAGTTCTACCAAATTTAAATTTAAATATTAATCCACTGAGTAAAATCTAAGATGAACAGAGGTGTTACCTGACACAACAACATTCAGTTTGGTGGTTTTAGATGCTCTCCCTTGCTCCACCTTACACAGGTATTCACCACTGTCCTCTAGAGTAGCTACTGCAGAGTATTTCAAAAGTCTCTCATCTCGTACACTGTTCAGTATTGTTCTGTTTTTCTGGAGTATGATTTCAATGCCACGCATTCGGGCTACCACAGTTGAGCATTCAAACTGTATTCTGTCTCCTTCTGTAATATTGCTTGACGGCTTGGCATTCAGAGTAGGCTTTATAAATGGTTCTGCAAGAGAATACATATAAACTCATGACCCAAGATTTTAATTATAGCAAGCAAAGAAATGTAGAAAGAAAAGCTAGGCAACTTACCCCTGACTGTAACAAGTGTTTTGTTGCTGTGTACTGAGCTTTCAAATTCAAGTTTTACATTTCTCTTACCAAAGCAATCAAATTGTAAAATATTATCTCCCTCTTCAACAGAAAATTCCACTACAGAAAAATTTCTGTATGGTTCAAATACATGTTTTTCTTTAGGTGTTGAATTCATCTTTATCTTCCGGAAAAAGAAATGCAAAGGAGGTACTTCTTCTGGCAGCTCACAACGTAATTTCACAACTTCACCCTCTAAAACTTCCTTTTTCTCAGCAGTCAGGATTGGCTTGGTCATTCCTTAGAACAGAAAACAAGAAAAGAAATAGAACATTACATAATCCTGAAATAAACACTATCTCTGATGATTATGGTACTGATATATGCTAATGAAGAGATGCAAATAATTTGCAAGAACTGAGCTTTTGAGAACAGTTCCTTTGATGTGTGGGTACATGCCAAGGCACCTTCAGAAGAACAAAGTGTCCCTCAAGAGGGTAATACAATCTTGATGCAATGTGTGAAGTATGAAACTCGCTGTTTTGAAGATAAGACCACTTCCTCCCCAGTACTTCCTATTGCCACTCAAAAAATGAGCAAGGGAAGAAACTAAATGCCATCTCAACTTCTGTACCTAGAGGTGCAGGCCTCTGAAGAAAAATTACAGGCCCCGCACAATCCTGTAACTATTTAATGCTGAATGAATTCTTTCCAAGTTGCTTTTCCAAGGGGAAAAAATGTCACTTGCAGTCAAGAACACATGGCTAGAAAGCGTATAGATGGAGGTCGCCCCTGTTCTCATAAGAGATGAGGGAACAAGACTGATACAACATTGTCTACAAAAGTAGTCCACAGTTGATACTAGCTTTGGCAACGGCTATCACAAGGTGAGAATCTCTATACTCCATTTCCAGCTTTTCCAGTAATCCCACACCATCTTGTTTATGATCTATAGGCACAACCTTTCACAACTAATACTTTCTCCAGTCTAGGGAACAGAGGCTCAGGACAGAGGGGATGGTGGCACAGGAGACACAGATTGCATTCCTGACTATCACTGATCTGCCATCTAGCCTTGGGATAACGATTTCATTTCTGTGCCTAAACATGAGGATTTAGTACTAAACTCTTGTAAAGCACTGTGATGTCTATGGATAAAAAACACTTTGCAAGATATCTTATTTAGCAGTGAGTATTATTACTTCTCCTGGAAGGTTGTTCTCTTTTTGTATCTTAGAAAACTGCCGTGTTTGAAGCAATACTCACCTGTTACCCAAACATGTAAGGAGTTACTAGATTTTGTCTTTCCGCCTGCTTCCACAGTACATTCATACTCTCCTGTATCTGAGGATCTGGCCATAGATATTTCATACTGTGCATCTCGTTTGTCTGATACAGTCATGAACACAAGCTTGCCATCCTTAAAAATTGTAAAATTATGCTTCAGCTGGAAATCAGTACTTTTGCTAATGTCAGCATGGCAGACAATTGACATAGGAGCTCCATTCTTTACTTTGACAGATGGCTGAACCTTGATTTCAACTGTGTTGAAAGTAAAAACTAGATGGAAAAAATAAAAAAAGAGTTATATTTATTTGCAACTAGTCCAACACAATACTGTTATCTCAAGCTGCTACATGTTAATCACAAAAATTAATTCACTGTACCCTAGTAGCAGGTGTTACAATTTTTGTGGTCAGATCTCATGGATGTTGACAGTGGTAGCAGCTTTACCTTCCACTGCACAGTTATACTAGAGGCAACTACTGATTGTCACAGCACACACTGTCCATCTGCTCAGTCTTTGCCTCGGGGGACCAAGAGAATGATTGATTTGGCCATACTTATGGCCAAATCTACTAAATTCCCTAGAAGACACAGAGGACACTAGAAGAGGTTTGCAACTACTTCTTGGTTTTCCTTATTTCTCATGGTTTGTTGTCTTCAACTCTAATTGGCAGGAGATCTGAGAGGTGAACAAAACTTTGTATTTATGCTTGTCTGAATAAACTGAAAAATGACAGTAAAACCCTGCTTAGAGTTGAATTAAACCCCAAGCCAATTCATCCCCAATTAGCAGAAATCCCTGGAGTTATCCCAGTATTTTTTATCTGAAAGTAAGGTTAGGGTTATGTCATTCAGCAAATTCCATTTAAACATGTAACTCACAAGCTTGGGATAATATTAAATCTCTAGTTTAGGATAACTAGAGCATAACAGAAGATAAATTTGGGTTCAAGTTCTGCAAGCAACCATGTACATGCCTAACTTTACATTGTTGGCAGTCCAGCAATCATACTCTCAATAGTCCTTAGCAATCATATCCTGATTAATTCAAATACAGAATCATCTGCCGAAGCAACACTTTCAATTAATTTAGAATTTAGATATGTTAGTCCCTGAAAAAATATACTGAATACAATATTCCTATTAAAAAAAAAAGTGCTTTAAGCAATAAAGTTTATAATAGCATTTTATATATATATATATAGTGCTTCTGTGTTTATAACCACAGCAATGATAAATCATTTGTAGCTTAAAATTTTATAATTATTAGAATCCTGGTATAATTAATATTTTTATTCACACAGCTAGATGAACAAGTAAAGAGAAAGATTTATGAGTTCATTCACTTTCCCTTCCTTTAGAACTTACAGCTTTTGGGTATGCCCATTTTGGCCAGGATTTGCATTAGAAATTTGCTACTAGAACAGGAAAACTTTCCTGCATCTAAAGAAGTCCCTTGCCATGTACACTTACCAGCTATTTATAAATTGTCCTTGCTAGAGAGAGTTTTGGGCATAAAACCAATGCAAAAATTGTAAATTTTTTCACGTGAATAGACTACATGACAACAAGAAGCACACATTTCTCCCTAGTGATGGAAAAAAGTAAGTATGCAGTGTGTACATGCTGGAAGTCAGCAAGATAACATAAAAAGTAAATGCATTCCTTTCAGAACGCAAGTTGTGTACTCTGTTCAGACATGATCTTTTCTTTTGCAAGAAAAAGAGCAAGAGAGAGTGCCCTTAACTTATATTCTATAATTTTATCATACCTCCTTGCTTGTGGGCATGAGAGGGTTTTTTAAAGACCAAACCAAAATGCTAGTAATTAAATTTCCTTCCTATCTCTTCTCTTGTATGCCTCAGTAAAGTGAATTACACTAGAAAAGATTTCACCAAAACATTTATTAAAGTATGAGCAGCACATCTCTCATTTAAACACTATACCAAGAAACACCACCAAGTAATACCTTTTTTTTTTTACATGGTCAAATTTTGTATTGAGCTATAGTACAGCAAATCCAGATAAACTCTGTTATGGATGCACACCAACAACTGAGGAAATATTTAAAGTACTTATTTTAAATTTGTATGTGAAAAACCCCTATTATTACCTACCTCTCTCCTGAGTGTAAAGTTCTGAACCTGGAAAAAAATAAAAAGAAATGTTATTTTCAAAGCTTACAGATTGAGAGACAGTGATGGGAAACAGTAAAAAGCCCCAACAAACCCCAAACAAACCAGAAACACATGTACCCACCCAGATATTTAGTTATCAAACTTACACTGCAAGAAAATCACCAGAAGAGCAAGATACATCTCGTTCCTGAAGAACAGACACTTAATTCCAAAATAAAACAATATTCATCATCAGAGGTGATGCCTCCAGCTACTAAAAACAGGTTATGGTTTTTTCTGTTGTTGTTTTATGGAAATGGATAAAATTTTGCCATTAAAATTCTAAGTTTTCCCAGATCTTCAACAGAAACTGGCTAGATCAAGTAATAGTTCCCATTACTGGAAACTGGAAATGGCAAACAATGAGAATCTATCTGCTGCTCACAGGCAGATTACTGTTCAGGAAGTGACTGGACTTTTCCTGAGGGCGCTACCAAATGCATTTGCTTTGTTTAATTTCTTAAGGTGTATTAAAAAAACAAGAAGTTCCAATGACATTTATCCTGCAGTTCCTGTCAATACGGGTATTTTTAAGTCAAAATTAACCATTTACAAACACAAATTACCTTCACTATTTGACCTCAGCAGATCCTTGAGCAAATATTTCCCTTCATCATGACATGGAGAACTCTTTCAGAGAATACATGTACATAATTACTCATTTTTCCCCTTTACCTCCATTTCTAGGTCTCTCATCTTTGCTGTGGCAAAGAACAGCTTTACTGTAGGGTGCAAAATAAATCTGAATTATCTCAGAAACCATAGCTACTGTTGTGTTAGACTAGAATATTGACAGGCAGACCTCTCATACTACCATCATATATCAAAAACACGGAACTGCGCAAGATTTTATTTTATATAGTTAGGACAGTGCAAAACACACACAATCATAAAACTTAAACCCCACAAGAAAAGAACTGGTTGGAGTTTCATTTTTCAGCAGAAGTCTGAAGCAGCACTGGCACAGTCTGAAATAGAGAATACTCTGGAGCAAGAGTTAAATCTGCTAGTAGCTTGACACTGTTTGAATTCAGGCATCCCTGAGAGATCTTCTGACCTTTTCCGTGTTGTTTAATTTTTTGCAATGGTATAAGTAGCCTGACAATATGACAGCCAGCCTGAAATCAGGGGTGATTAATTCTGCTTCCAAAACACTGAAAGCAGAAATCGAGCAAATGTGATCAGAGGAGGAGGAAAAGTTGCAAAACATTCTACTACAGCTTTTTGCCCTCAATTTCCACTGGTGTAAATATCTGCCTGAGATACAGTAAGGAACTGATGTAAAATTCAGAACACCTGAATTACTCAACCTCCTTTAACAAAATGGAGGGGTTTTTTTCTGATTATGGACAAAAGCCTGAAGAAAGTAAAAAGCCTAAAGAAAGCCTAAACACAAGTAAATCAGTAGCCATCAGCTTTGATTTAGGTGGATTGTTCTGAAGAAGACTAGTTGTGAAGAAAAGTAAAATGTAATCATTATCCAAAATTTCATTACCATGACCAGTCTCTGGATATTCAAATGGGGAAGGGATGGGAGAGATGGGCAGAACAAGGAAAGCAAGAGGATTACAGAGATGCTGTCCTGTCCCTATCTCTCCTCTTCTACTTTTCTTACTTTGGTACTGTCATTTTTTTGTATGAATGTGCTTTTAATCTTAAATAATCTGACAATGCAGAAGTGGCAGATTGAAGCACCAATTTCATTTTTCCAGAAAAAATTTACTCTGTAACTTTTAGGAATTCAATGTTTAGTACCTTTCAGCTGTTCGAGATATTCCTTTCTCGGTTTATCAGTCCACTTTTAAGTCAGACTTAAGTCATTCCACTTGAGCCCTAACACTGACTCAGTCTATAGGCTTGATACAGTGAGTTGAAATCATGCCCTTCAAAAAGCGTTTCTCAGGTTGTGTGTCCCAGAACTCCCTAAGTAGTGATTTAGTTATTCTTGAAAATCGAGCACTCAACTCTTAATCCCTTAGTTTCTTTCCTTCGTAGACAGAGTCAATGCTTTCCTTTACTTCCAGCGACATTTTCCAGGCTTGTTGAAACACTACTTAAAACAATACTAAATACATTCGCAGAAGTCTATAAATGAGACATACAGTTCTCATAAGCTTCACTGTTTACATGAAACCCCTTTTTTTTTTCTCCTGGGGTCAATGAAAACTGTATTTTTTCCCCCAAAACAATAGTTTAAAGCTATAAGTGTACTTTAATGCTTGTATTACACACATAAGCATGGTATTTTGCAAAAGGAAACAGGAGGGAAACACTCATCTGTTTAACAATGTATCGGCAATACAAACAAGCATCTATCTAGCTGTTTTGCAGGGAGGGAGCGCAGAATGGCACAATAGTCATAGCAATTAATGACTAAGAAGTAAGCTGGTTAACTAGCAATAGTATTTGTTCTGCTTAATCCAGTCTGTTTGAAATACACCACCAACAAAAGACTGATGGTTTGGCTGGTTGCCAACAATGGTCTCCAGAGCCAGGTAAAGGAAAAGAGGAGGAGGAGACATGGCAGGTCGAGAACAAAGGTAGATCAACTTTTGCTATTGATAACAAAAAATAGGAAGGAAGGAGATTTCCCCCTTTCCCCATAAAAGAATTCAGAGGGACATACAAAGCTCAGCAAAACCACACCAGTCTTTCCCACGAGGGACAAAGGCTCTCCTCGTAGCCACAGTGAGGGAAGGAGAAAGTGAGCATGGGCCAATATTCTTCAGTGAGCCAATATGGTTGAGCTCAGAACCAGGCTAGTTTCAGACTGAGGTGGAAAGGCCAGCTTTTAGGATGAACTGGGTCAGGAATAAGGTTTAATGGTGCCAAAACCTGAGGCTGTTGTGAGATGTCACTCCCAAGTGAAGGAACATTCCATAAGATCTCACAGGCCGATTAGACCGTCATATTCTTGATAAGCCCTCAGCATTGCCCTGGAGAGGAAAACCTAGCTGGTATTGACCAAAATCCAAGAAGTAAATTCAACTGCAGGAGTTTAAGCCAAAATATCATGAAACTTGGGAGAAAAGCATTTCAAACACAAAAGAATGGCTTGAGACCATCTTCCATTGTTAAACTGGAAATCAGACTGACTTAAAGAATTTAAACTCAAAAGTACCTGTGCCAGTAATACAGCTGCATATTTTCCTAATGGTCATCTTATTGTAATCTCTCAAGATACACTTTCCTGAAATACATAAGATCAGACAAAGTTATTCTAACATACATCATATAAAGAACTCTATTCAGTCCCTAATATACTTCTGGGAAAAGTAGGATTGACCTAAACCATGCAACACACCTTCTGAAGCAGACAGAATAGTCATTATAATCTGACGCAATGCCCTTTGAAACCTATGGGAATCATTACATTTAATCTACTGCTCAATGAATCAGACCCTTAAACATTAAAGCTGTGCTCATCTGGGAATTCATGATCCCTGTTTCTGCTGGCTGGGTCCCCCGCTACTTGCTTACATATGACATTTCCTAAAAACCATCAGGTCTGTCATCTGAACAGCACTTTGCCTAAAATCAGAGGCGAAGCCTATTTTCCTAACTAAGGGCAAAATGCTGAATAAGATTTTCAAATTTTTCCCTCTGCAAATACAATGTTTTCAGCCAGTCCCTTATGACAGGAAAGGAACCTAGGAGTTCACACCACACTTCAGCTGTTTGTTTTCATTTGCTCTCCAGCTGGCTGGCATGACAGTAAAGAGCACACCGCAGTGTCGATCTTTAGGACTAACATCTTACTTCCTCACAGAGCACATGTTGGTTCCGGAGAATCTTCTGGGGCCCCTAAACTTTGTCTCCTGGTCTCAAATGCCCATTACTGATGGGAGTTTCACTTTCTTCAGAAAAGACGAAGTCTCTACATGTGTTGCCTTCAAGTTCTATCTCACCGATTTACTGACAAAACATTTCTCTTAACACAACATTCTCAGGTCATCAAATCTTGTCCCTGATAATGGAGGCTCCACATAATTTCTTGTATAAGTTCAGTGATTTTAAAAACAGTTAATTGCTATAGAGGTGTATCTACAGATGTTTGGGATTTTCAAATTTTATTTAAAAAATTATAAAAATTCAGAGATCTGTGTCCACCTATACTGAAGTCAACACAAGCTTTCCAGTAACTAAATCAAGATTAGAAATCAGAGCTGCTTTTCTATTCCCCCAATCCCTGACACGTATAATTGTTTAAGCCCTTTGGTTCCTTACAACTGTGAACTATTTTGCTTAGTTATCACTTCCTGTTTCAGTATACTCATAGATAATAAAATTATAACAAACATTGCTGTTTGCGCAAGTCTAGACAAATCCCTGGTGAACTGGGAATGAACCGAGTTTTTTCTACGTATATTTTCAGAGCATATTGTCTTCTCTTGAATGTGGGACATTTGCACCACTTGTCTTTATTTTAAAAGTGTCTCCTTGTACCTCCCTAGAGAAGAATAAAAACAATTTTATCCCTAGATTTGAATACTTACAAAGAACATTAAAGAAATGAACTTTTTTTTTTTTTCCCAGAAGTCTGAAAGTTCTACAATTTACAGAAACTCTAGATTACTGAAAGTTTGTGCTTCTCAGAATAAATTGCATTTCACAATGGCACCATCTACTGGGAGATGACCACTACAGCGAAGCACACTGTGGTTCCCTCACTTCTCTCTTTCGCAATTAAACCTATGATTACTGACATTCAACAGCTCCTCCAAATGACAATATAAATTAGATCTGGAAAAGTAACTGAAGGAACCAGGAAGCTGATAATGAGAGAATATCACTGAGGCCTTCACACTGAATTTTTTAATTTTATTAATTTTATTACTATTTGGTTTTACGCTTCCTTACTGATATGGTGTCACACTGAAAAGAAAACTAGGAATCTGAAGTCTTGACTTGTATTTCATGTAGCACGCACTTCCATGTATCTTACAAATTCATTCAGACAAAAGGAGAGAAATTCCTTCTTTCAGAGGTGTGAAGTCTATTTGTTGGTTTGAATGATGATCGTGGTCTCTGATACCACCTCTCAAACTTCCTCTGTTCCAGTAGTGTGCGCAAGGGACTGATTCTACACCTTGAAGACATTTTTAAGTGCTGTCTTCTACTGGGTTAAGAAGTTCCTCAGTTTAGAAACAGACATCACAGTCTGTGTTGCTATCACACAGTGTGCTTATCTGGCAACATACCAGAATTTGCACTTGTTTTGCTTAAATCCAGCATTTCTGGATGCAGCAGAAAAACAGCCTCGAGCTCCGCAGTAATATTCATCACAGAGTACTGACAGTGCCAGAGAAAAGATCAGAACCTTCTGGCTGGAGAGGGAATTAATTCTGGAAATATTTTTCCTGCTCTGTACATTCCCATTGTTTTTGTATTGCTCGATGATTCTCCAAGCATTATTCCACATCAGTTTCATAAGTAAAATTCAGTAGGTAGTCACTCAACAAACTGATCCAAGTTGACAGAAAATCTTTCAGCAGACTTTACAAAAACCAAGAGGAAGAATTTATCTGCTTCCTGATCTGCAGCAGGTGTCCACACACAGCCATTGCTGCTACTCATATAACTTCTGGTTAGGATGCACAAAGGGGCAGATACTCCTCAGAGTACAGAAACAGAAGTTTGAAAAGGGTTAAGATACAGACATAGTCCTGACAGGTGTATTTTTTTTTTAACACTTTTTTCATTCAGTATGTTAAGTATTCAAATTAAAAAAAAAAGTTAATTTTTATCAGAGGTTAGGAAGCAGAAAAAAGGTAAAATTACAGCTATGAGTTTGTAAAGAAGGCTGATTAAGAGAGTACTCTATATTTTTCAACCTATAGTATTCTTATAGCAATTCCTGAACGCATTTGTCTGGAACACTTCTCAGACAGTGATGTCAGAATTTATCCCAGAAGAAATGCATTAGTAACCCCAGTTTTTGGTGTCGCATCAAAATTTTTTCTTTCTTTTTTTGGGAGGAGGGGAAGAGGAGTCAGAGGGGAGACATACCATTTTAAAATATTTCATCTTTGGGCGATTTGGGAGCTGCTAGGTTAATCAAATTGGGTACCCAAAAGTTCCTTTCACCTGCTGACATGTTCCTTGCAATTTGCAGTTCATTGAAAACCACTCACTACATTAAAATTCTGATTCAGAACGTGATGATCACTGCAAGAAATTTAGAGATATCTTAAATATGCATATAGAAGAGATCCTTTCCTCTTTTACTCTTGCTCGTCCTCTAGAAAAACAACCTTCTCACAGTCAAATACCAAGTAGTTAAAATAAACAGCAGACTTGCCACCACAGTCATTTTGAGTAGGAGTGTAAAAATACGGTATTCCATGATGATCTAGCTGTATCAGTAAAACCTTTTTGCAGACAAAACAGAAGCACTTAATTTAATTCATCACCAGACATAACTGTCAGTATACGGTGATTTCTAGCAAACCTTCTGCAGACATCTACTGTAGCAGACACTCTTCCAGAATGGAGGATGTCTCAGGATGAGAAACTGGGACTGGGAATAACTTTTATAATTCTACTGAAACATGCAACTTTCCCTGGAAGCCTACGATAGGACAGATACAGTGTGAAGCCTTCACAGCCTTACTACAGAATGCTATCTCACACTATTTTCATTCTCAAGTCAAAGAATTGACCTCATGAATGAAAGCTCAGTTTGGTTTTTATTCTCTTCCACCTGCTTGCTTGAGGCAGAATACTGTCACAGCACCAAGTGATACACATCTCCCTTTCAGACTTTTTCACTTACTTGTTTTGGCTGGATGATTTCTGTTCATTACTCTCTGTTAAATTTATTCAGTTCTTCTTACATGTACAACCATATTAATTCCAGGCAGGAAATTTGTAAATCTAATAAAAAGGGAAATGCAAGCTTGCACAATATCTTACTGATGCTATAAAACTCTACATATACATGCTGAGCAAATCAACATCATATTAGTCCAAAGTCAACAGCCAACTCTGCCAGAAAAACAATCAACATGGAAGTAAACTTCATTTACGACTATCCAGGACACTTTTCAAGAGACTAACAAGCTAGTTAAACTAGTCAAAGTTAAAGTCAGTATTCAAAACCTCACAGAAAGATAATGCCAGGGGCTAATTTTGCCTTTTTTCCCTGTTTCGCATTGACAATATGGCCAACTGGATGCCATATGGACAATATGAATGCTGTTCTCCTTGCTGAAGGCCAAAATAAGACAGTAACATTTTGTCTCAGAGTAATACTACAAGATTTAACGAAGCTCATTCTCTTAATTTTGGGACCCTTCCAGCGCATGTTGTAGAAGAATACTGCCTTAAAGCCTTTTACAAAGCTGCCATGAAGATGCTATCCACCTTCAGATGTGTTGAATACTCATCGTAGTTATATCCACATAAACCAGCAGACATTAAAAGCGTTATTCCAAGAGTAGTGCTTGAGAATAATAATGCATCATTGGCATGCACAACTCCCATGAGTACACACAGTCTCTTGGATTATGCTTTAACAAAATTCTAATATATCCAGCCCTTCCTTGCCCTATAGGACTGAGTAGTCAAGTAAATTTTTCTGGAAATTTCTTTATATCAACCTAACTTAATCATTTACGTTATGAACTTCATCTGAAGTCTCATTTTCTAACCAGCACGTTATTAATCCCCTAGTGGTGATTTGAAAATTGCAGTCTGGCTTTTATATGAACTTCATCAGTGAGCCTCAACTACCAAACCCTATCATAATGGTTCAAAAATCTTTTTACATAGGAAGTGTCTCTAGCAATGCTCTGCAAAGCAATTATAAAAGTTTAAAAGTAAATTGGTATTTGAGCAGATGAAACAGCTAGAGCCAAGTATTGGACAGTTAAATGAAATGCAGTTCTTCCCCATAATCCTACATGTATAGTTGAGATGGATGGGATCTGCTAAAGAAAACATGTTCCCTCCTATTTCAGACCCTAAACTCAAATTTCAAGGAAAACAAAACAAAACAAATAAAAACCAAAACAAACATTGAGGACATAGATGCACTGAACTACAGGACCTCCACCCAAGGGAAGAGAGAGAGCAGGGTTGCTTGGCAGAGCCCAAACAAGCCAAGAAAGGCACAAACAGTTCTGGAAGAGCTCTCCTCACTTCCCCAATAGAAACCAGCACTTGTCTTCCCTAGATACCCAGGCCTCACATCCTGAGGGAACCAAGCAAGGTCTCTGCGTGCATTTAAAGCTGCTGTACGCGAGAGATCCTAGTGACAACTAAACTTTTCTTTTTTAAAAGGTATGGACAAATTCACATCTCACAATAACTCTTCACCATTACCCACACACAAAATCAATCAGCTTCTTAGAAAAAGAAAAGCATTCGGTTCCGGGTAAGCAACGTCAGCCAGCGCCTCAGTGGCTTTACAGAGCAGGAGTGAGAGGCTGCTGGCGGCTTAACGGCTCTATGTACTTCCCACAGACCGCCGTCAGCTGTGTGTGAGGCAGCCGGCTGCCCACAGCCCCTCCCCCCCTCGACACACCGGCCAGGTGCCCCTGCCCTTCGCGCCACTGAAGAGCCGTCCAGCGGCTGCCCCGGGCCGGCTGCTCCCCTCCCCGCGTAAAGGGGGGCACGCCCGGGCCCCCTGCCGGCCCGCAGCCCGCAGCAGCGGCTGCCCCGGGCCGGCTGCTCCCTCCTCCTGACAGGAGGGTGAGACACCGGGCTCCTTCGCAGCTTGCGGGACACCTCTCCTCCTCCATCACCTGGCTGCGAGCATCTTAAGGACCTTTTTGTGGTTTTCTGACAAAGAACGGGCTCCCACAGCAGGAAAATGCACAAATGCTCCCAGTTCTGACAGCTGCATTTTTACGCGTGCTTCCTGCCAGCTGCAAAAAAATACTCCGGTCTTGTGGTTAGTTGTCAGCGTTTTCACATAAGAAACATTTGTGAGGGGAGGGTGGAGATTGTCTTAAAAGAAATCAAACAACAAAAAAAACCCAAACCACACACACAAGGAGGAAGGAAGTTGCACACAAAATTCTGCGAGGAAACTGCAATGCTGCAACAGACCAGGCTTTGGGAATAATTTTGAATTACACAGAAGAGGACAGACTTTGTAGGGCCTTGTCTTGTTACCTTCAGAAACTGGAGACAAGTAAGAAATAAGACAAGGGTCACAAAAACACTTTTAAGGCATTCTCTGTGTAAGCAGTTAACTTCTTCACGTACAACAGGGCCTAGGGTTCTTCAGAAGGCATTGCCCATGTATAGCTAAAGATTACATTTACTCTACCCAGAGGATGACAAATAAAGAACATCTACTTGCTGTAACTGTAATTATGTAGCCTTGTATTACTGGTTAGATGATCAAATTAGTCACCAAATTTGTTTCTGCAGTGGTGTTGAACTCAAGTTTGTGTTGAGATTTGTACCTTCTAGTACAGCTTAATATTTGAAGTTTGACCAAAATATTTCCCTAACAAGCTGGCTAGCTATAAATATTTATTAGCGTCTTAAAACTTCTATAGATTTTTTTTTTGGACAATTTTTTTTTAAATTACATTGCTGCTAAAAAAAACCCAGTACCACCTACTCCCTTAGTCTCAGCCATATGATCACTTGCATTATCTCTAGCAAATGTGTGACTGATATGAATCAGTAATCTCATTCCCTTGGAAGAACAGTGCTAGAAAAATTATATACAGTCTTGTATACTGTGTGGCAGCACGGTTCTACCACACAGCTCTCACATCGAAAAGCTGACATGTCAGCTACATCTTAGAACAACTGTATGTAACATTTAGTTGTATCCCAAACTGATGTTCCTCACTCCACAGCTTTTTCTTCTGCCCACTGCTCTGTCTGCCATAGGCTAAATGTAAGCAGAATACGAAAAAAGTCTTTACACAAACATCAGTAATCAGCACTGTGCCATATTTAGGACTTCCTCAACCCCTAGAGCCACTCCTCCAAGATCTTATTAGTGTTACTCCACCAGCTGTCTTGCTCAGTATCAAGAAGATGTTTTTTCTCACAATTCTGCTGTTTTCCTACCGTAAGCCAAGGACATACTTCTTACATATTACAAATCTTTCTAAACAAGAACCATTGTTTCTTGTCTGAAAGCTTTTTTTTCTTCTCTTAGTTCAAACGTCTCAGCAGATTCAGGAAACTACTGCAAGTGGCAAAGGTAGGTTCTCTTTTTTGTTTTGGGATATGTGCTGAAATCGACTGTTAAAAAAAAATGGGGGAGGGATTTAAAAATGTCCAAAACTTTCATGTAAAATTAAATATTTTGCCCCTGTCTGTGCAATGAGGCAGTTTACAAGAGGGACCTGGACAAGCTCGAGAAGTGGGCCTGTGTGAACCTCATGAGGTTTAACAAGGCCAAGTGCAAGGTCCTGCACCTGGGTCGGGGCAACCCCCGGTATCAATACGGGCTGGAGGATGAAGGGATTGAGAGCAGCCCTGCCGAGAAGGACTTGGGGGTACTGGTGGATGAAAAGCTGGACATGAGCCAGCAATGTGC